TTTTGGCGCCACTACCTTTCCGTGAGTCTTGCCGTGACCTCTATGATAAGATGGGGTATATCATAAAGTTGAATCAGTTTGTGTTTTTGTATTTTGATTTGCTTTTGTTTTAGCGTTACGTTTGCGTTCGTGGTTAAGTTTAGAGTTAAGAGTTAGTTTTATGAGTAGTTTTCTCAAACATCCATATTTGGACGCGTTTAATTTTTTTCTGCAGTTTTTTTTTCGTTTGTTTGTTTTAGTGTTTGGATTTTAGTTTCTGTTTACGTTTGTTTGTGGGACGGAGTGGTCTAGCGGTAGAGAGCTTGACTGCTAAACCGTAAGTCTCGAGTTCGAATCCGGTTTCAAGTCAGTAGACCGTCCCTGAGTCCACCCAATTCTGATGGGTACCTAACTCACGTTAGTGAAAGTAAAGGCGGCTGGGCATAGTACTGACCACACTATCTCTTCATATGCCGAGGTCACAGAAACAAGTGAACTCTACTTCACTAGCCCCATAGACCGTCAGGTTTGAAAGGGAAACTACGTTTGTTTGTTTGTTGGTTGTAGTAAGCCTTAAGTTTAGAGTTTGAGTTCTTAGAGTTTCGAGTTATGTGTTATTTTCTCAAACATCCATATTTGCAGGGGCGTAGCGAGGGGGGCTGCGGACCGCACCTGGTGACACCATTTAGGGGGGGGGGTGACACCAAGGCAAAAAAAGCAAAATATATATAGAAAAATTTGAGGGGGTGGGATGCAAATCGAAAGTTTGAGGGACGGGGTGCAAATCGAAAGTTTGAGGGGGAGGGTGCTAATCGAAAATTGAATGTTTGTCCCCGGGAAGGGTCGCTACGCCTCTTGGGGGTTACACCATTAAGTGCCGCACCGGGCTACACCCGACCTCGCTATGCCACTGCATATTTGTATCTAGAATTTTAATTAGAAAATGAACACATATACAAAATCTGGCAATGACGGGTATACGCTGCTTCACTGTCCTTTACAGATTGTTTTTTCACAAAGACCAGTGCTGGATCTGGCCGGCTATTCCACCTATAAATAAACTCACCTGTACGAGAAGCCTTCGGAAAATTGTCTTAATCAACTGACAGGCACGGAACCTGCAGTTTCCCTTCCTGCTAGTATTGACATGGCTAAGAATTTTTTTTTTCTACGGCACACGTTAGGCAAACAATTACCCTACGTTTCTAGGCTGATCTTAAAATTCAAAGTTAATAGACCTTTCCTTTTAAAAGATTGATGGTTGAATTGAGCCTGACAACAAAAGTAAAGGCTACACTGGTGAACTAAGATCGATCTGTTGGCGGGTGACGGTAAATATGCAACGCGAATAACGCAAGAATGAGTGTTTTTAGTTCTGCTACTAAGTTGTGAAAATTGTTTTGTTCTTCTCTTTCGTATTTATAGTCAATCGTGTTTTAGATTTACGTCAGTTATTTTTTTGTCCGTTTTGTAGTGTTATTACAGTTTGATCGGTTTTTTAATTTTTAAAACTATGTATTTTTATAATAGTTATTGTTATTTTAATAGGTAACTTTTTTAGTGTCACGCACCCTACCATACTGAAATTGAAACATTATACAAAGAAAAAGAAAGTCGTCAATCATCTTTATGTTGTTAAGCTTTATTAAACAGTAATACCTTATATATATATGCATATATATATGCATATAAATATATGCATATATATATATATATATATATATATATATATATATATATATATATACGTAAAAGTGATTTAAAGACAAGAATAGTAAGTATTCAGCATTAGAAACTGTCTCTTCTTTCTGCCCATCCATCTGGTAAAGAAATCAATATATATATATATATATATATATATATATATATATATATATATATATATATATATATATATATATATATATATATATATATATATATATATATATATGTCTGTGTGTCTGTGCATATTATTTAATTTATTTATATACACAGTGGTACCTTGACAAAAGAGTGCCTCGACATACTTTTTAAATTAGGGCAGGCAGTGTAGGGATTTTTTTATGCTTTGAGTTACATTTAAATTTTGATATACGGGATAAGCATGTCAAGGAAAAGAAACGGCCCAAAAAAATTGCATCAGACCCTGCTATTTAAGGTCACTTGCCTTAATTTCCACACCATTTTGAAACGCACGAACATACAAACCTCATTAATAGGTTTTGATTTAAATAGCATAGAATATGACTATTAATAAAAGCAAGCACTTTATACACCAATCTTAATCTATCTGGTTTATATTTAATAAGATAATAAGATATATGCAGGAAAACCTTAATGCTTTTCATATTTTAGAACATAAATCAAAGAGTTTCATGTATCAAAAGGGGATCAAAATTAAATTTATTCTAACTGTTGACCTACCCTGCCGTTTATACTATTAATAGCAATGCCACTTTAAACAAAATTCCAAAAGTTAATTAAAAGTTGATTCCAAAAGACACTGTAAAAAAATGACCAAGAAAAACATGTAACTCTATGTTTTTTACCTATACAAAATTTGAAAAGGAGTCAAAAGTTGCCTTTATAATATTTTTTGAGTGAAGTCTAAACTGTTTTTATGAATGGGAAACATAATTAATTATCTATAACTATTATCTAAAATAGCTGTAAAAAATTTCCAATATCTATTTCTACATTTTTTTTTACCAATGATTTAATAATCTCCTTTATGTAACAATGATAACAACTTTTAGATAAATCTTTACCTGTTTCTGAAAGCAATATTGAAAGATTATATATTAAACAAACAAACCTCTAACCCTAACCGTACTGCAGCTTAAATCCTCTGCCAGCAATAGACTCATCAGATTTGAAAACAATGAACACTCCCTTTCCTGTAGAAGTTATAGTTTGAGGAAGAACACCCTCACACACTAGACTCAGCAATGGAGCACTGGAACTGGTACCATCATAGACTTTTATACTGTCATATGGACAGGTGGAGCCAGCCTCCATATCAATATCCAGGAAACTGAAACAGTTCAAATAGAGTTGGTAAATTAATTTCAAGTATACTATTACATTATCAATGATAAACTATTATAACCATCAGAATTGTTGAACGTATTTATACTTAAATTTTTACTTTAATCGTAGATTCAATTTTAGATAATTATTATTTTTTTTTATTAAAATAATTAAAACTGCATACAATAAATAAATACTTTACCTCAGTTTGGTGAATGTATTGGTATTGGCAGGTATCGTCCAGTAGCAGGTAGTGTAGGCGCCATATTTCTGTGGATATCCTGGGCTGACAATTAGACCTGAGCTGCTGGTTACTGTTGTGTTACAGGCTGAGGGTAAGACACAATAAAACATAGATAGACCTTTTTAAAACATGTAATTTTAAAGACTTAAGTGCTACAAACTTAAAAGCTACAATCAATTTTTCCCTTAACCTCAATACTATTAAACTTACATTAATCTTCACCAAAAAAAAAAATATTACCATTGATTTCAAGACATTTTGTGCCAGAAACTGTATCCAATCTAGTCCATTCAGGACAAACACATTTCTCAACTCGTGGATTCACTGAAACTATCTGGCAACTGTGTGAACACTGTAGGTTTTTACATTGACCTGGAACAAAGACGCACACACAAATATGACTGTAAATAGTTAATTTCCCATTAGCGTGATCATTCTAACTGAATGAGCTAAAGAATAAAAACTTAATTCAATCAGAACATTATTGTAAACTTTATTTGTTAATCTTTTTGGTTTTTTTAATATATATATATATATATATATATATATATATATATATATATATATATATATATATATATATATATATATATATATAAGTATTTCTATTTAACCAAATAAATCTTTTTAGTAAACATTTATTTAATTTTAACAAGGTAGAAAAATAAATAAATTTAAAATAATAAAGTATGAGGAAATATTACTTTCAATAGCATATGAAGCAATAAAGCCTTTAAGATTCCCAGAACCATCAGATGTGAATGTGACGGTCAAAGAATTTCCTGAAGAGGTAACCAGCCCTGGTGCATCAGTACAGTACTGCCCAAACAGGTCAGCATTTGTATCCCTACCATCATACACCTCCAGGTAGTCATAAGGGCAGCCTTCAACTACAAACTCTGTAATGCTGGGAAATAGGTTTGTCAATATAACTAAAAGATGCTTTTAACCACTGACCCAATCTTTCTTCTAAACAAATTAAACCAAAAAATTGTATACAGCATTATGGTACCAGAAGAGAAGAGTAGATTATATTTGGATACTTCAGCAAGAAAATATATTTCAATTAATAAGTTACAGATATTTTGAAATGAAGCTATCTCATAATAGATTTAATTTTAAATATTGTGTTTATTGCCACTGTGCTTACTTTAAGGAAATAATAGCCAGTGAATCGTTGGACATGATGGTCCATGTGCAGAACTGGTTACTGGGATAGTTGTCTGGGTAGTTGGAGCTCATGAATTTACCACTGACTTCAGTTAATTGTCTGTTGCAGTCTATAAACAAAAATGTAGCAATGCTTATTTTAAAACATAACTATGTTCCATAAAAGTGTAAAAAAAAATGCTACGATAATGGAGTCCTCTTTAAAAATAGTTTCGGGCTATAAAATATAAACTCATGTAGAACTATCCCTAGAAGTAGGTGGACAATAAATTTAAGAATAATTACTGATGCAACACTAAAACTAATATTGTAATGTGACTATCACTCCTAATGATACATATGAGAAAACGAATTTCTTACAGAAACATTTTGAATTAAAAGTTTATTTAAACATAACTAAATAAAATGAATTGCCTTCTAATATTATCAATTCAACTTAACTTTTATGTTTTGTTAATTGCTAAATATAATCTTAAACTATCTTAAAATTTAGAAAATTATTTTCACCAGCACAACCACCATTGATTGGGCGTTGTCCATTTAGACAAAGACATTCATAACTGGTCTGTGTACTGACACACATCAGGTTAGCTGGGCAAGGCTTGGACAGACACTTGTCAACATTGACAGAACAGTCAGGTGTCTTGATGCCATCCAGACATACACACTGACTCACTCCCTCATCACAGTACAACGTGTTTTGTGTCACACATCTGTTGGAGCAGTTCTTGGCTGGGGATACACACAACACAAATAAACTGTTATTCCTTTCATACTAACAATAAACAAAAATGAAACGCATCAAGGACATTTAAGACTAAGGTGAAAGCTCAGATCATTACCTAAACATGTTTTTGCATCAGTCCTGTTAAGAACAAAACCTTCTCTACAACTACATTCATAGCCACCATCCGTGTTATTGCAATAATTTTCACATCTACTGGGGTTATTGCATTCATCAACATCTGGGAATATTAATGACTGTTTTTATCCCTAAAGTATTATGTATCTGCTGTATTCTTCATTATAAAATCTGCTAATATGAATGTTATAAACCTACAGATGTATGTAAATTAAATATAATTTATTGAGCAAAGATACATATTTCATCAATACAAACCAAGGAAAAAAATGAAACTCCTCTTTAAATTGTAAAAAAAAACATTTTCTTGAGTTAACTTAGAAATCCACTACATTTAAAATAAATAAATTTCCAGAGATATATAACAATCAGTTTTCATGACTATTAATGTATTTCTAAAAAATGCGTGTTCTTTTTTTAAATACCTATGCATTTGCCGAGGTAATTTGTGTACCCAGCTGGACAAGGCCCACATACATATCCAATCTCTCTGTTTCCTTGTTGAGCTGCTGTCAGGTCAGTGCAAGTCTGGCCTTTGTAACATGGGTTGTCTTTACAGGCATCAAGTTCTGACTCACAGTTTGTTCCTAAAAGAAAAAGAAAAAGAATGATATATCTTGTTGAATGTTAGATAATTTTATTTGCATTAATCATACTTTTTTTTCTCATTATTAGATTTCAATAGAATGTTTTAATCTTTCGCTTTAGTTTTATGGCACAAAATTTTACTTTAGAATAGATCACTTGGATAAAACATTAAAAAATCCATTCTAATGAATTCTTAAACAATATCCCTTTCAAGAGTGGGCCTATATATTATTATCAGATGGATTCGTGTATAAAATGAATAGAACTTTTATAGAAGATCTGTTTTAATCGATAATTATTTAAAAACCTGCGTTTTAAAGGATTTAAACATTAAAACCTACCAGTATATCCAGGCAAGCAGCTACACTTAAAAATTTTGACAAGACCACCAAAATATTCTGTCTCTCTGGTCATGTTCTTGTTACACTGACCATGTCCACTACATCTTGGACAAATTGTTATTGGAATGATCATTACAGGTGAGTAGCAATCTTGGGAGTCTTTTACTCTAAGGCTGAAAATAAGGTAAAATTATTTATATACTCTTTTGAATAATGTTTATTGTATAATTGTTCTAATTTTTTTTTCAAGTAAATTTTATTACACTTCTTGAATTTCTCATTCACAAATAACAGATTTAACAATTGTACAAACCAACTAGTGAAAAATATGATTATTTGATTTAGGTCTAAAAAATGTGTCATATTTACTTTCTAGAAAAATGATAAACATTTCAATAAAGAACCTGATGAGCTTTGTAAGTCCAAGACAGATGAGAAAAATTCTACTTTATGACATTTAAATATGAAAGTAGCATTCACTGTATTTGTGGTTTAACATAAAAGATGTATGATGATAATATCAAATGAGTTATTGAAAGCAATCAAATTTGGTAGTGAGATAAAAGTAAACAACTCACACTACACTGACAGTTGAATTTACTGATGGCGTGTAGGTCAACAATCCATTTTGTGTGAGGGATACAGCAGATGAACCTTCTACTAAGATATAAGTTACCGCATCTTTATCTTTGTCAACAGCTTTAAAACTCAGTGTATTGGCAACACCTTCCTGAACTAACCAACGTCTATTCACATAATTTTTGTTTCTCACAACACTCAACACAGGACATGAATTAGCTGTAAAAAAATTGTTTAAAATCCTATTCAAATGTGTTAGTTGAAGTCAAGTATGATTTAGTTTGACATTAAAAACAAAAAAATAATGTGATAAAGCAAGTTAACGGGACTATTATTTTTCATTCATTAAAATGGCTCTATATTTTTCAATTTTTTAAATTCTAAATTTATTTGTAATTTTAATAAGGCAAGAAATACTTTCAAGTTTTATTTTTTAAAAGACATAGATTTACGAATATACATTTTTTTTATATTAAAAAATTCCAATAATATTTTAAAACATAATAATCAAATTTCTAATAAATAATTATTACAATAGGCCTACCTAGAATTTTCTTCACAGTCAAAGATTGTGAAATTGTGTTGTTTGTGTTGATTGCAAAGTTTAGATCATTGGTGACCATGTAGTCGAATACACAGGAATCTGTCCCATTTTTACAAACTTCTCTTGCTTTTTGCAACTGGCTGGCAGTTGCTGAGTCATTGAAAAATGGCACAAAATCAGGAAACTGGTAATCTAGAGCAGTTTTTCCATCTCTGTAGGTGAACACTGAGTTAGCTTGAGTTACTTGATCTAGTAAAATATTAGTAAAAATACAACGTTAATTAACATACCTTACTGAATATTTAAAAACCTCATTTTAATTCATCCATAAACGATATGTGCAAGCCATAGTTCCTGTTTTCAGTTTATGTAGACGGTTTTATAAGATACACTCATATAGGCTTATATTGTTTAGTTTGTCAAAATTCAAATGAATTAAGGTATTATTAAATGTAATTTGAAACAATGACAAAGTATTTAACCTTAAATAAATACCAAAAAAAACATATTAGATGTATTTGTATATTCTAAAAGATAAAACTAAAATAGTATACATTTATTTGCAAAGTTGTAGAAAATTTCCCTTTCAGTTAGATTGGATCTTAAAACGGTTCCATTTGGTAATGTGAATTCATCTTTTTTGTTTCCATTAAAATTGCCTAGTAAGCCTTTTGTTTTTCCTTTAAGTGTTTTTTGTGCTTGCATGTCCAATTCAAGGCTTTTGTACCCCACTCGGAAGGTGAATGACACACCTTAAAAAAAAGATTTTTTTTTTTTTTGTAAATCTTCAGAAAAACATTTATAAAGAAAATGTAATACTTGTTATTATAATCTAAGCTGATAAGATAACCATATACCACAAGGAAATACAACAGCCACTTTGGTTTTGTTTCCACTATCATCCCTGAAAACTTCAATAGTTTCGAGAGAAAGCCGGTAGTCTACAAATGAGTAAAAGCTTTCTGTAATATTCTGGCCACGAACATACAGGAACATGGCTGGAAATATTTTTTTGTAGATAAAAATATTATTACAAAAACTTTTGATTTTTCCAATTTTTTAATAAACTGTATTGAATGTTTAAAAATGTCTATCAAAGTATGCTACAAGCACCAAAATTACACTAACTACAGTCAATTAAAATTGCATATCAAAATGCACATACACGTTTTACTGGCTGCAAGTTCCACTTGGAAATGTGAAATTTCCTTTTCCTTAGCAGCAAATGCTGTGAAGACAGTTGCGTTTGTTAAAGTTCCGTTGCTTGTTTCTGCTCTGTCTGTTCTGGCCTGAAATTGTAAAAATATTTCTAGGGTCTTAAATGGATGACATCATAAATACAGGTCTACTTTTTTACAATAGTATTTTACAATTTTTTTTACAAATATAACAAGATTAAGCTAAATGAATTTAAATTTATGAGGCATAAATGATACATTTCTGGATTAGTTCTGACAGCTTGTTTAGAAAGTGACTCATGTTGGGAAAAGTTAATGTGGTTCGGAAATTAACTGACTAGACTATCCCTTTATATATGGGGGTCACAGAAACAGAAAACAGATGACCCTTCTTCCTCAATGAGCAATCAAGTCTTATTGGGTAACTGAATTAGAATTCGACATTCAAAAAACTAATTTTTAAACTGAATTTCCAGTTATTTTACATTTTCTAAATTTATAATTGAATCTTATATTCTCCCTGGATTTGCTAACGTTTTTAGTATTAAGCCTTAAATAGTAGACCTAACAAGCAATGTTTTCCACTAAATAGTCATTGCAGGCAAAATTTTAACAGAAAGATATTATTTTCAGTGTAAGTTTGTAAGCAAACATCAACTTCACTGATACTTGTAAAAATAAAATAGGGGTAAAACACATTTGGTGTTTAATTTTTTTCTAGTCTTATAAGTTTATGAATGAAATAGATTAATAGAATAAAACAAAAAACTAGTGCAGCCACCTGTAGTGTAAAGTTCTCAGATTGAACATCCATCATAATGTATTCACCTCTGCCATTAAACAAGTAGGTCACATTATCCAACGTCACAATGGTTGGGTCTCCAAGCATCCAAGCTGGAACACAAAATAACATTTGAAAATTATATCCTAACCTTTTTCCTTACAAATACGGAATTTATACATTGTGAAATTATTTCTTTTAAAACAAATTTAATAATGTGAGGCTTGTTGCAGATATACACTGCTTAGTAAATAAAATAGATATTAGCGCCAGATGGCCTTAAGCATTATGAGTTATGTAACAGCAAAGCCACGATCGTGGCTTGGCGCGCTTCAACGGTCTTGAGAATCAGTTTTATTTGTAAAAATATTGTTATTTTTAATTAAGGGGAAAAGTATGAACATCCAAGAAGTCTTATGAAAATCTAACAACATTGAAAATATACCTGGCACAAAGGTGACGTCATAGGAGCATTCTTGGTCTGGGTACAAGAGATTATACCTGTCACAGAGTTTACCCACGTTCCCATCCTTACAACATGACCTTTGAGCCTCAAGACTTTCATTAGCAGCCAGTGACCACCAAGGATCACCTACAAGAACATGACCAGCATCAGGTGTGTTGTGAATGAATGAGGCCTGTTGTCTTGATTCAGCCCACTTCATCCAATCACTGGTTACTGATGGTTGAGTCCATTTGTAGCAGCATAACTAGTTTTTTAAAGTAATAAAACAAAATATAGCCATGTAATAATACATTTTATACATTAGACTGTACTAGTATTTTATTATTAGATTACTTTTGTTTACAGTGTTAGAAAATGGAACCTACTAAAAGCAGATATGTTATGACACTAGCTGTTGGGCCTATTATGATAAGTGTTTCTTCCAGACTTTTTTCCCGGGGGGGTGGCACTTGAAATTTTTGGGGGGCCGTAGACGTCCTTCGGGGGAGGGGGGCGGACACTGTTAAAAGTATATATTTTCTATATAAATTATATAAATTCAATTTCGTTCAGGGGGGGGGGGGGCGATAGAATTTTTTCGGGAAGGGGGGCTTTTTGCCCCCCCCCCCCCCCCCCGATGCCTGGAAGAAACTCTGATTATGATATTTTTTGTGCAAAAAGTTTAAAATTATCAAGGATAATGTTAACCTTGAAATTTGGGGTAATAAATTACTGTCACTTTTGCTTCTTTAAAATGAAACGTCTTATTTCCACCATCAAATACGTGGTATCATCCCCACTTCAAAACACAATATAGGCCCGATCCCCAGTAAACAATGAAGTGATCTCAAATAGTTTTCATAAAACAAATACAATGTTTTAAGGGGACAAGATACACATGTTTTCGATAAAATTTTAATTTTGCTCCCCAATATTTTTTATTTCTTAATTCAGTACTAATACCTTTTATCTATCTAACCCGAACACTTCGGACTTCTACAGCGTACGGTTATCCGTTTGTTTGCGATGTGAAACATGGTACCCCCCCCCCCCCCCCCCGGCGTGTTTTTACACTACTAAGCTGACAGCGGCTATCTTCGAACGGGTATTACATCATTTATTGCCCGCGAGGCACCATAATCTATATGCCAAGCACTCGTGTACCCGCTGGAGTAGTGATCTTTTCTTTTGTTCTAAAAATAAGTAGGATAGAAGTTGTTTTCTATAAAGTAAAATTTTTATATCAAACTCCATATAAGTGCATGCGCGTAAAAATTATAAATGGGAAGAGATTCATTGATACGCTTGACCAATCATATTATAGTACAGTAAATCAAAATAATTCACGATATGTTGCAACTAACCAAAGTGTGCTAGGCAGCCATTTTGTTTCTAGATAAACAAAACAATTGCTTGTCTTCGGTTGATTACTTTATTTTCACATACTCTTCTATTTGTTGTTTTAAAATTATGCAACAACATTTAGGTTATTAATTGAAACTTTGCCAAGAAGTGCACTGTTGATTGTCATTGGAACACTATTAAACACTGTTTAGTACGCTTTATACTAAGCTAAAACAATGCGTGATGGACATGTCAGTCAGTGTGAAGAATGTACTAAGTCCATCCCCTTCACACCCATCATTCCCTTCTCGGTAATCAAGCAACGACCAGTTTATAATCTTGTTACTTCATAGAGGGATAGGCTTGAACGCGTACTTCAGACTTTACATCGGACTGTGAACGCATGTGTTAATGTGAATGCCCTTCGGTCCGTGTAGGGTTTGCTAGAAACTAAATGTAAATACTAGATGGGATAGCTGATAAGCATTCATTGTAAAGAAACATAGTGCTTGACTCTATCTACACAGATGTGTTATTCACGGATCAATAACCATACGTAATCTATGTCTAATTGGATCTTCACGCACTGTCCAGAGGTGGGGAGGTGTGGGATGGGGGGCGTGTCTAGCCTCAAGCGTTGTACATAGGAATGTAAAGTTGGCTATTATTAAAAGGCAATATACTTGTGTAAGCTATAGTTTAAATAGGGATAGATGTTGTACTGAGCTGAGAAGACCGACTATCAAACGAAACTTAATCTGGATTGATGATAGCCGTTCTGAGAATAACACTCGATGCATAGGATTTGTAATATTTAATAGTCATTAATTCATTACCTGTTGTATACACATTTTCTGCTTACATAAAAAAATCTCTCAAACTTACAACATAAATCAACACGTATTGTATTAGTAAATGGTTCTTCAACACACAACAAGATGTTTTTTCTGTATTCTATTAGAGGAAACGCGCTGTACATTTTTTCCGCCCTTCTTTTCACATTTTTACTCAAAATTCAACATTTATATCGCTAAGACTTTGGAACCCTCTGTCATACAAGAGTGAAACATTATACGTGCATTTAGCATTATACCCTCTACAAAACTACGTTTGTACATTAAGTTTAGTAGAATACTTTAGGAAATATTGATATTTATGTAGCACCACCCCCTAATTTGTGTACATAAATGAACATAAAAATGTGTATTAAAAATTGAGTACGAGCTATCGCAACGAATAAACGTAGAAATGTAAAGTTAAGTTTGAGAAATCTAAATTTTTCATCAGCTTTTAAAAATCTCTTACGGAAACTAAATGTTATAGAGGTTTGAATAGGTGTTAGTTTTCACACCTTTTCGTGGTTTCCAATGCAACCACAAAAACTATTGGCGGCTATATATTATTTTTGTCTATAGGTTAACTATTAACATATGAATTTATCAAACACCCAGAAATGTGTTAAATAAAAAAAAAAATTATCCTTACAGTCTATCCTTAACAGCATTTGCTCAGAATATGTTAATTTAAAATAATTAATAGAATACTAGAAATTCTTTTTTTTTAATTGTTCATATCTCAGATACTACTAGGGGGGGGGGGAGTCATCCATAAATGACGTCACACTCGTAGGGGGGGGGGGGGTGGCGTAACTTTGTGACGGTCTGTGATGAGGGGGAGGTTCAGATGGTGTGACGTTACACTTTTGTATTATAAAAAGCAATGTAAGAAAAATTTAGGCGTTATTTTGCATGTTAGAAAACTGTTTTAAATAATTGTAATAGGAATTGATTTAAATACAATACAATATGTTGAAAGAGTTCAGATAAGATTTTTGGAAAATATCTTATTTTAAGATAATTTCAACTGCAATTTTGAGGGGGGGGGGTTGTAGGCTGAGGTGTGACGTCATTTTATGGGGGGGGTCTGGCTGTTTATAGCATTGTGTGACGGAGGTGAGGGGGGAGGTAAAAATCGTCAAAAAAGCGTGACGTCATTTATGGATGACCCCTAGGTCATTTAACTCTACTTTCTTAATTGAAAATGTAAAAAAAAATTAATATTCTGTCATTAAAATTTACTCTAACAAGTTGACTCTAAAATTGAAAATAAATATTTTTCTAGTTGAATAGTTTTAAAAATTTTTCAATTATTTTATGTAATAATAATTCAGTATTGAAAATCTGTTGTCTTTTGATATCACACTTTCTCAACATTTCATGAATATTTTGCATGTTACATTTTTTTCACCTTATTTCTTGGGTTATTTTGTAATATCCTTCTTTTAGCCACTGGACTAATTACAAAGCAGAAAATATCTTTCAGGGCTCCACGTTTTTCATACAAACTCCACTGTAACCCTAGTAAACCAAGAGTACAGGGACATGTGTAGAGTTGACTGATCTGGTTGCTGTAGTCTGCATTTGTAATAAGCTGTGAATTCTTACACACATGTTTTTCACATTTCTGTTCAGGTCCTGAAATTCTTCCAATTTCATAAGTGATGACCTCTTTGTAGTCTATAAACAGTTTAATGTTAGTCATATAACAATAACTAAATTTTCTCGCCATTTTTCTAATAGTATTTTACAGAAATTAAGAAATTTAAAATTGTTTATAACAGCTTTTAAATCGATATATTATGTTAATGAGAAAACTGATAAATAATAAATATCACTTCATATGAATTTAATACAAATTTAAGTTCATGTTAGATATGTTAGTTTATCTTTTTAAAGCAATGTTATATTAAGCAGTGTTACTAATCATCATTTTTAAATTGAGTTTCATGCTTAATGTTGTTTTTATAAAAACAACATTTTTTAAAAAGCAAAAGATTCTTCAAAACAAAATATTTTTATATCATTAAAGTTAAAACAATAAAACACTACACAACCTAGGTAAAAGTGCCTAAAAATGTGGCATGTACTTAGGTACCACAGAGTAAAGTAAATATTGCTTCATTCTTTTTCTTCCATATTAATTTATAATAATATTAATATAAAATAATATATATTGAATTGTAATAGTAAATTATTATTACAGTTTTTGTTCTTAATCCAGTCAAATGTAGTCTGGCTGAGTTGTATTTTATTAGCGTATGGACCAGCAGAAATGCCAATAGATGTACCACTGTTTTTCAGGGCAATTAGGTTCATTCCTCCTTTTGGGTATATGAAATATACATAGGCTGTCTCTTCATCTGACAGAGAAAAAAAGTATTATCTTTGCACTAAACATCATAACACTGGCCTCAAATACGCATTATGTCCATTTATAGAGAGAGAGAGAGAGAGAGAGAGAGAGTAAGAGAGATTAAAAAAGCCATTTTAAACTAATATTGCAAATAAAAATTAATATGCATAAATTAAATTATCTGTGTTTTTTCTTACCTATAAAATCCGGATCACCTATAGATTCCTTTCTGTATCCACTAATGTATACTGCTTGAAAAGTACCCGTTGGTGGATTGGTCTAGAAATTTAGTAAAGCTATTGCTTTTGGAAGACAACATTATCTTAAACAAAATTTAACAGATCTAAAGTAGTTCTTGTATGTAAAAACTCCAATAATGTCTATAAAATATTTAATCCATTTTCTATTTAAAAAATTAGGATTTACACAGATTAAATTAATAAAGGTACCTGTAAATATTTGAGATTATGTTTTGGCAAGTGAATTTCTATGAAATAAATGTTCAAAACACTACCTTCCAGAAAGTTATATGTATAAACAGAATACTTGCCTTGATAACACTTGATAAAATTTGCACATTTTTCCAAGTGGCAACCAGCACAGTTTTAACTTTAAAGTCATAGAAGCGATAAGTGTTTCTGACATCTTGCGCTGCCCTTTCCATTACTTTAGCTTTGGCAGGCGATGACCTCACTGTGGCACTTTCAGAAAAAATTGATGGTTCACAGCTCTCATACAGATGGTAGAAAACCTCTCCTTTTGTTGGGTTCAATGTTGCCCAGTATGGAGCAATTATTTTAAAGCCATTTTGTACTGCAAGATCATATGTACCACTGATCACATTTCCTCCAAATCTGATAACTCCATCACTAAAGACCTAGAAATAAAAGATGTCATTAGACATACAGCTTGAACTTTAAAAACTTAACAAGAATAAAATTGTTTTGGTTGCATTATAATGAAATACATACACACTTACATATGCCTCAGTTTCAGTCCCAGCACCAACAGGCACTTTTGTTGCAAACACAATAGGTTTGCTGACATACTGGCTGTTCCCTTTAGTTTTAATAAGACCCAAGTCGCGTTTGTCAGCACCATATGGATACAAGGTCACTAAATTTGACAAAATAAGTTGATGCAATTACAGCAACATCATTAATGAAAAATATTTAACTTAATCATCTACATAAAAATTAAAAAAAAAAACAGTATGTAAAACGAATGTTTGGAGAACAAACGATCCACTCACCAACACACTGGTTCTCTACTGCTCTTATTTCCATGTTTTCAGGGCAGGTACAAATTAAAACTCCAGCAGTGTTTCGATCACAAAAGTGGGAGCATGTTTTATTCTTTGCTGTTACACAGTTCTGGCTGTTGCCTAGTTATATATATATATATATATATATATATATATATATATATATATATATATATACACCTTTATCAGATACGTTAGCACAATGTAGGTTTTGTGTATTAATTATTTAAAAAATGATAAAGGAAAATCTGACAAACCTTCACATTGACCAGTTTCTGTCCTACTAAATCCAAGTCTACATTCACATGAATAATTCCCTGGTGTGTTCTTGCAAACTTCATTAGTTGGACAAGTGTTGTAGTTGCACTCATTAACATCTTCAGAGCAGGTGTCACCTGTCCACCCAGGCTTGCACACACAAACACCATTGGTGTTGTCACAAAATTGTGTTTTAGAAAGATTGCATGTGCAAGTGAACTGACAGGTTGGACCATATGTGAAATCATTACATGCTGAAAATCAGTTTGCTATAATTTAAAACCATTGTGTAATATCTTATATCACTTAAAACTATTCATTATGAACTCAAGCTGAATAATTTAAGAAATTATAAATAAGTATGCAGAATTATTTTGATCATCTGGACCTTGTTTGCTTAGCAATAAACCTTGTCTGAATAAATTGTAAATGTTTATTTTTTTTTCTGGATACATTTAAAATCCTTTAATATTTCAATCCCATAAAGAAGTGTTCAATACCTTTCAATGTACCATTAGATTAAATTATTTATCATTGAAAGGCACTCAAAAATATTAAGGTTACATACAGTGTGTATAGTAAACCCCAGTAAATCCCCTTCTGCTCCAGTATTCATCTGCTTCTGTTTTGAGCTGAATCTCCATTATGTTACAACTGGTCCTTATCAAAGGTGGTACTCTTGTACCACAGTATCTGCCTATTTGTGTGCTTGTTGTATTTCCAACACTGAAGATGTTTAGTGAATCCCAGCTACATTGTCTCTCTTCAACCAACTGAAAGTCTTGGCTTTTAATGCTGTATGTTTATAGTGAAACAGCAGGATAGAAATACGCTAAATTTTACAACTTTCATTTCAAAACTATCTACTTACATTATGTTTAATGCCAGTACATAGGCTTCAAATTGATTTCCCAATATGACCATAATTATTACAGGTCTGTAGAATGCTATAGATGTTCTAATATGTATTTAATATGAATATACAATACTTTCAAATAAACTTAACGTTGGCACTAGTGAACAATTGGTCTGATATGTACTTAGCTTTTTGAAAAGAAAAACTCCAAACCTAAAATTAACTGAATGTGTTAAGTACGTGCATGAATGTGTGCGTGCGTGCATGCACGTGTGTGTGTGTGTAAGTGTATGTTTATGTATGAATTACCTTTCTAAACTCTAATAGTATGTGTTTGATTACCTGAGTGTAACAACTTGACCTGCTGACCCCTGTATTCTCCATTTACATAAAGCTCTCCTAAGGTGATAATTTGGGTAACCAATGGTAGAAATACTTCCAGACACAGAAGTTAAATTACTGTCACAATCTGCATGAATATTCCAAGGGTTAATAAAAAAATTTATAAATACTAAAACTTTATCAAAGATGTTTTTTACTATTTAGTAAGTTATATTCTGTATTCAAGTAAAAACATGACCATTGCTGCTTCAGTAAAAGTCAACATTTTTTATCAAGCTATGCCTTTTATTAAACCAATACTTAATTCAGTAAAATGTGAAATATGAAACATAATGTAAGAAAAAATGAGTACTAACCAGGAATGCATCTAAAACTTCCTAGTGTGTTCACACATTTTTCAGTGAGATAGCAAGGATTACTCAGACATTCATCAACATCATCAGCACATGTAGCTGATTGCCACCCAGGGTAGCAGGTACACATCCCATTAAAACTATCACAATATTGTGTGTTGTTCTTGACACAGCTGCATGGTGTGGTACATTTTTCTTCACCATAGTAAAATGGAAGGCATCCTGTAAATTAAAAAAAATGTGTGTCTTTAACAAACATATGGAATCTTATACTGTGGAATTATTTTTTTAATTACCATATCTTTCATGAAATAGTACATGATGAATAAGTATATTAGTCAAAAAGAAATTTAAATTATAAATGAACAATTTAAAAAGAATATGAATCAAATACATTTTTATGCCTAAAGTTTACCCTACAAACTGTAAAATAAAATTGGCCAGTCATAAAAATATTTTCAACAATGAAGTGTCCTTAAATAGTACTGGACAAACTAGCATTTCAACATTTAAACTATAACTTTCACTTGTTTTTGGATATAATGAAATGATGGTAAATATGTTTTATTGGGAATCTATTAGGAGGTATTTTTAAATGCAAATGAAAACAGGAATGGTTAAAGAAAATAGATGCATAATATTAGTAAATATAACCTACTCAAAAAAGTAGCATTGAAACCTCTGCCTGCTATAGATCCATCTGACTGAAACAAAACATATAACGTGTTGTCTGCTGATGTTATTGCTTTTGGAATGGGTACCCCATAAAATAGTCCATAGATTCCTAAAACAGCATTCCTTGGATTGTAAACTTGCAAAAATGATTTGCCTTGTGTATCCAATAAGAAATCTGTAAATCTACAAAAAAATATATATTTGATCAAAATGGTAGGCTACATAAATCAAATATATAATTACCAGGTTTAAAACAAATTTTAAACATTGATAAAGAATCTATAGCTTATTTCTTGCATTAAGCATCAAGAGACACAGAACTACCTGACTTATGAAAATTAGTGAATTTAAATGTAACACATATGGTTACCAGACAAGGGGGGATAACAAATAAAGTTTTAATTCATTGAGTTGATGTAGTTGTGTTGCATGCTCTTGTGAGCGATTTTACCTGTGTCCCATGTCATGTGACATGGGACTGTGGGTAGTTTCGTACCTAGCCGTGTCAGTCACACGCAAGGCTGCTGTCTGTGGACACAGTGACGGTACCAAGATGTAGACCTAATGAAGGTAGTGTGGGTATATAATTTATGGTTATTGTTAGAATACTTATTTGTGTATGCCTGCTAGTGCTGCATGTGCACACTAGTTAGGTTGAGTATTTATTTAAGTATTTATTGTTGTACTACGTATTGGTCGTTGTTGGCAGTACTGTGTACTGGCAGCAACATATTTTATTGTACCCGTGTATGTTTGTAGCCTACACGTGGTGTTATCATGAATGTAACTTTTTTTTTTACATTTGCTTTAGGGCTACAGTTTTTCTTCTCTGTTTTCTTTTTGGTTTTCCTGTTCGTTTGGTATTCATCTGTAATCGTCATACTACTGTGTTCTGCATCGCCGTCATGGCTCGATGTAGCGAATAAAGCCAGTACTTGACAACAACTGTCGGTGTCAGTGTGTTCTAAATCTCACGGTCAGCCTGTCTTAACCACAACACCTCAGTGGGTAAAAGCATCCCCACTGAGTGAAGGTTACATTTGGCGCCCAACGTGGGGCTTGACCTTGAGAGGCAAACATGGAGAGCAGCGATCCGACGTTCGAGAAGTTGTCGCAGGAGTTGGCCGAGTTGACGACTAAGATGGCGGCGATACAGGCTAGTGTGCAGCGGCCCGTTACGGTGGAGGTGTGCATGTCAACACACAACAGGCTGAATCTGTACACCAGCCCTCCACCCACTGGAGGAGGGGAGGTGAGTTTCCCGGACTGGTAAAGCCAAGTTCAAAGTTTGCTGCGGAAAACCAGCGTTCTTAACCCATTGCCACGCATCTTAGGCAGTCTGAAGGGGATTGCCTATGAGCAGGTGAAGCAGGCGGCGAGTGCAGAGGAAGTGCTAAGCCTACTGCAAAGCACTTATGGCGACATCCGGTTTGCAGACGACATGTATCTCCAGTTCAGCCGACTCACACCAAAGCAAAGAGAGTCAAAGTCTGAGTTTCTTTGCCGACCGTGGTCAGAGATGACGAGGCTGAACCAGCAGCGTGTCTTTACTGAGGCCGATGCCCAGAACAAGGTGTATCACACCTTCTGCAAGGGGTTTTCACTTCTTCTGGCGTTCGAACTTCGAGGCATATTTGGTTTCCCAGGGGAAGCCAGCCCGAAGTTGGGGGACGTCCTGAAAGCTGTTAGAAGGATGGACGAGACAACTGAGTCCCCAGTCGCAGCCAAGGGAGCAGCTAACAGGACTATCCAGGTCGACGCGGTAACGACAGCTGTTCACCAAGAGACGACGCCGCCGATGCTCACGGAGGAACAACTCGACCGTCTGGCGGAGAAGGTGGCAGACATCCTAGTCCGGAAACAAGCGTGTGGGTGTGGATCCAGAGAGCACTATTTTCGCGACTGGCCGAGAAAAGCTGCCAGGTAACAAAGTCAACAGCAGGGAAACAGGGGCTACCAAGCGCCCAAACTAAAGCTATTCCACGAAGCTTTCAGCCTAAGGCGACTCCGGCAAGAGCACTGAGTTCAGTAGGGGAGGTACGCAACCTCACCAAAAAGTAGCCGACACTAAAACGGTACGCCTCCGAGACGTGGTTGTGACCCTTGCAGCGGATCAAACGTTGGAGCTACGTGGAACAGCACCTCTCACTGCGCAGTTACCGACAGGGTTTCGTGTTTTACACACCAGCATCAACAGAAACTGCCGGAAACGAAGAAATCTGACCGTGACCTCCGCTTACGTCCTAGCTGATCTAAGCACAGAGGCGGCGGTATTGGAAGCGTTGATAGGGCAGGCATGTGAAGCGACCATACAGGTGGAACGTGTAGATGTCCAATGTTTGCTGGAAAGTGGATCCCAAGTCACTATCGTGTCGCAGAAATTCTATAAGGAGAGGTTATCTCATATTCCTCTCCAGCACCTGCAGACACCTGTTACAGTAACTGGAGCCGGGGGACAAGAGGTACCATATTTGGGTATCATATCTGTCACGTGTACATTTCCTGAAATTATCGCAGGTAGAGTACAGGCTGTGCAAGTCTCGGCATTGGTCGGTGGTAATAGCCCTCTCTCGGAGCGGATGCCTATAATTCTGGTAACGAATGCGTTCAAGAAGCTGACGCCCCCTAAATTGGCAGAACAGCGTATTAAGGGGGAAGCTGCTTTTATGATGGGGCATCAGCTGGACAGAGCCCACGAAAGTGGGAAATTGGGACACATTTAACTGGCCGGTAAAGGTGTAATGGTGCCACCATTCGGTACGATATGATTGTGTCAAGGGGAGGCCACAAGTTAATACCATACGCACTTGTGCAAGTGTGCTGCTCCAAGAGCCCACGGAAGTTAAATTGCCCGAAGTGTTGCATGTGGTTGCGGACAAGGTGAGTGTGGATGATCTGTGTGGAGTACAGGTGACACTATGCAACATGTCAGATCATGATATGGAGTTAAAGCAGAAAGATATTATAGCTGATGTTTTTATGATCCAATCAATGTACAGCATCTCTGACCTTTTGGCTGAATTTCACGAGGTACGGTATATAATTTATATAGAAAATATATACTTTTAACAGTGTCCGCCCCCCCCCCCCCGAAGAAAGTTTACCGCCCCCCCCCCCCGAAGATTTCAAGTGCCCCCCCCCCCCCCCCCGGAGAAAAAAGTCTGGAAGAAACACTGAGTACCGGCGACAGCTAACCTTTCTAACTCAACCCGCATAGTCTCTTTAGAGGCAGGTGGAAATAATGACTTGAATTTCAAGTTTGGGGAAAACACAACTCCAGAGTGGCGTGACCATTTCACTAGAAGACTGTATGAATTTAGTGACGTGTTCATACACAATAAACTTGATTTAGAGTTGACCACTGAGGTAGCTCATGATATTATTATGATCGCTATCTGACAGCCGCAGATCTAGCGAACACCCCGGGTTCGTTTATGTGTAGTTAATGATAGAGATCCACTAGACAGAGTATGAACACAACAAATTACTACGTGGGCTCGTCAAAATGATATAGGGCGGACACGTAGAAATGATGTGACTCACAACTAGGAGAAACTGTCAACTACATTTTAGTAAGTGTACAAGTATAAAAATGACACTTGGTCTATACCAAAATATAATAGAAACTAAGAGTAAATAGTAATCCAAAAATCAACTTACAGCCAACTCACAGTTGATGAAATAAATCACTAGACTAAATAACAAATATCACAGATGTGGCATTGGTGAGAGAATACACCTTAAGGAAAAATAGTGGAAACACTGAATGGCGCTATAAACACCTATAATAAGGAAAATAAATTGCCGCCACAAACTAAGCAACTCAAAATGGCGTCACACACACACACACGGCAATCTCTCTCTCTCTCTCTCTCTCTCAAGATCTAGGGTCAAAAGCTGCCTGAGCTTTCGTATTCAGGGTTTTTTTAAACAAGATCAAAACCAAGGGAAGTTACTTCAATGTCGTAAGACCATTGGTCGAGGATCTGCTAAGGATCGGAACAACCAATTAAAATCTCATCACATGACGTGACGGAGGAGTTCAGGCGACCGTACAACTCTCCCAAGGTCGATTACCTAAACCAAGAAACTAAATTATATAAAGAAAGAAAGACCTAAGTAGGTCACAATATTGAGCTAGAAGCAGGTGCTTGGGTAAAAGAACGACCCAGACCTATCCCACCAAAGGATTTCACCGAAGCAAAACAGCATATTCAAGAACTATTGGATGCTAAAATCATCACGCCCTCATCCTCACCGTATGCAAGCCATATTGTGCTGGTGAGAAAGAAATCAGGTGCATTATGCGTGTGTATAGACTATCGGAAAATTAACGCTCACACTATTATCTCTCTGTCAGCGGTACTTGGTAATATGCCCTACATAACTGTCCTTTATACTATTAAGGACAGTTATGCCATCCCACAAATAGAGGATATGTTCCTGACTTTGAGCGGGGCCAAGTTTTTCACAAGTATGGACCTGAGTTGGGCATATTACCAAGTACCGATGACAGAGAGAGCAAAACTTATCTCTGCGTTCACCACACCGTTCGGATTGTATCAATTCGAACGAATGCCTATGGGATTAAAGAACGCTCCTCCAACATTTCAGAGGCTAATGGAGAAAGTCTTTGCAGACATGAATCTGACAGAACTGATTGTGTTCTTAGATGACATCTTGTTGCACGGTAGAACTCTGGATGAGTTAGAGGAACGTACAATCCAGGCATTACACCGTCTCCGGAGGTACGGTCTAAACATAGACCCTGACAAACGTGTGTTTGGGACATCCGAAGTTCGGCATCTAGGACACGTAATTACAGATAAGGGAATCAAGCCAGATCCTGAGAAGATTAAAGCGTTAATCAATTGGCCGAGGCCGAGAACTGTCCTGGATGTCAAATCGTTTATTGGCTTTGCCGGATATTACAGGCGATTTATTCCAAACTTTGCTCAAATTTCTAGGCCATTACATGATCTAACTGTACGGTAAATGCCTAAAGGAACCAAAAAAGGAAGCCACAAACCGGCCACCATTCATTTAACGTCGGATATATCGCACATGTGGGGTGAGACTCAGCAGAAAGCATTTGAAACGCTAATGAATGCGTTGACCGAAGAGCCTATTGTGGGCATTGGGACAGGGAAAAGCCTTTTACTCTGCACTGCGATCCCAGTGGTACAGGAATAGGTGCCATACTGTATCAAGAGCAAGACGGCACGACACAGGTGATTGCTAATGCTAGCCCATCCCTGAACAAGACAGAACGCAACTACCCGGCCCACAAACGAGAGTTTCTAGCTCTTAAGTGGGCGATGACTGAGAAGTTCTATGACTATATCGTTGGCTCACACATCAAGGTGGTCACAGACAATAATCCCCTGTGCTACATTCTTCGGAATGCCAAACTGGATGCTACAAGTGATCGCTGGCTGGCGTCTCTGTCGATCTATGACTTTGACCTGCAGTACAAAAAAAGGTCTACTCGTGTAGATGCCGAGTTATTGTCCAGACGACACCAGGACTAGCTGGCAGAGGAGGATGAGCAATTTCAAGTTTTGCTCGAAGACACCAAATTTTTGAGGGACAATGCGGAAAAATTTGAGTTGCAAGCTGCCAAGTTGATTCACATCGGCACACATCTAGTATCAGCCATAATTGCAGCCAAGGGTGGCGAGAGCCAACCGAATTTCTCAACGGATATGAGAACTAACGGGGAAGGTATCACGTACATGCCGGCTGTCGAACAGGTGGTAAAGACTCCGTCAGCCATCAGAGATGATATCTTAGAACAGTCAGATGGGCCTTATCATTATATTTCTATGGAAGAGTGGAGGAGTCATCAGTTGGCCGATACTATCATTGCGTGGGTCATTAAACAAGTAGACCAAGGAGGCAAGTTAGAAATGTCAGCAGACAGCACACCAGAGGAAAGAGCATTTGTCAGGGAACAAAAGAAATTAGTAATGAAAGATGGAGTCCTATATCGAAAAGTAGCAGATGATGAATTAGGAAGTAGATTTCAATTAGTTATCCCAAGGTCACATCTGAAATAAGCAATGCAAGGTGTACATGAAGATCTATTTCATACCCATCTGGATGATGCGATTAAACATGCTCGAATGCGGTTTTACTGGCCACATATGTTCCGAGACCTTGAAAGGAAGATCAAGAAATGTGGGAGATGTCTAAGGAAGGGTGCACCAGTTTAGCTAGCACAGATGGAAACAATAACCACTTCGTTTCCATTAGAACTGCTTTCAATAGATTATCTAACTATTAAAGCAGAAGGTCACAAACAAAATGTTCTAGTGATGTTAGACCCCTTTACAAAGTTTGCAGTGGCAGTGTGTGCACCAAAGACCGGACAGCGAAAACGATAGCCAGGACACAGTGGCATGATTTTTTCATGACTTACAATTTTCCAAAGAAGAGATTCCTCACCGACCAGGGGAGAGATTTTGGAGCCAAATTTGTGAAATACCTGTGTGAAATGGCGGGTATTCGCAAGTGTCGGACCACACCCTACCATCCCGCAGGAAACCCAGTAGAAAGGTGGAACATGACGTTGCTAAACATGATCCGAAGCCTTGAGGAGGACGAGAAGGCGACATAGAGGAAAAACTGCCGACCGTTGTACATGCGTACAATAGCTGTATCCATTCAAGCACAGGCTACAGTTCATATTTCCTCTTCTTCGGTCGTCATCCTAGGCTGCCCATCGATTTAACTTTCGGGATCGATGTGGGAAGAAAGAAACAGGGAACACCGACGCAGTTTATACAAAGCCTAAAAACCCAACTGAAGTCGGCCTACGGAAGAGCAGCCGAGAACATGGTCAAAGCGGCTGACCGGAACAAGGTCAGATACGACATTTCAGCCCACGCTGCTGAGCTGGAGGTTGGAGATCGGTGCTTAGTTCGCCGTTTGGGTCCTAGAGTCACGTCAAAAATCAGCGACAAGTGGGAGGCCGAGATTTATGTGGTAGTGGATAGAGCGGATGACGTGCCAGTGTACACTGTGCAGGAGGAGACAGGAAAAGGGCAATGTCGGACATTGCATCGGAACTTCCTCTTCCGGTGGGAATGCTAGATATGGATGCTGGCACAATATTGGCAGAGGAAGAGAGACGGCGATAAGAAGAACGATGGAAAGTGATCATCCCAACTAGGTAGGCAGATGATGAGGAGGAACTGGCAATTAAGGTGGTCCCAACCAGACTCCGACCCGACGCATCGCCTTTCGGGCCAGTACTTGACAACAACTGTCGGTGTCAGTGTGTTCTAAATCTCAGGGCCAGCCCGTCTTAACTACAACACCTCAGTGGGTAAAAGCATCCCCAGTGAGTAAGGGCTACATAAACGTTTTGTTATTCTATTGATAACAAATATATAAATACTGTTTAATACAGCAGTTTATACCACTATTGATTCTGATAGGTACAATAGGATTGTTAGGTTTATGTAGGTCCTCACTAAGTGCGGCACTTAATGGTGTCACCCCCCCAGAGGCGTAGCTACCCTTCCCGGGGACAAACTTTCAAATGTTCAATTTGCACCCCCCCCCCTCAAGTTTTCGATTTGCACCCCCCCCCCCTCGAACTTTCGATTAGCACCCCCCACCCCTCAAGTTTTTCTCTAGATATTTTGCTATTTTTTGCGATGGTGTCACCCCCCTAAATGGTGTCACCCGGTGCGTTCCGCACCCCCGCCCCCCCCCCTCGCTACGCCCCTGACTAAGTGTCACTTATGTATATGAAATTTAAAATGTGTCTACTTCCTAATTTTTGTTAAACTACAATGTTTAGTCTAACTCAGCATTTATTAGTCGTTATCATTGTTTCATTATTAGAAGAAATGTTACATATTAATCGTGTGAAAGGCATCTATTAAAAAAACAGCCCCAGGAATCAAATTATTCTTATTACCTTAGAGAAACATTGTATCCAACAGGTGCATGAATCGCCCAATAGCAGACAGTGTTGTTGATATATGTTGGGTAGCCAGGATTTTTAAGGATTTGCCTCTCGTCAGTTGCGTTGATGCTTTGTTTGCACCCACTGGCAAAATCTGCAATAGAACATACGTCTAGTGTAACCCTCAGAGTATTGAACCATTTTAGTCTGATATTTTAGCTGGATTGCTCATTCAAAGCACATTTATACTTTATTTAAATAAAAAGGCCAAATGTAAATACAATATCCAGAAACATCAGAAAAGGTATTTAAAATTTATGGGTAAATTTAACAATTAATGGATATAGAACGTTTTCTATTAGTGTCAGCATAAATTATATCACTGTTTCATGGAGAAGAATATTTGGACATTGTTATTGTTGTTATAACATTGTTATTTAGATAAACTATAAAATTATTACCATTGGTTGTATAAGTCCCATTAAATCTTCCATATATTTTAATGGTTGAATTAAATTTAATATGCATAGTGTTCCCTGTAGTTCTTATTACTTTGTTAACAACACTAGAATGAAATCTGAACAATAGGAAAGAATCTGCATTATGGCCATCAAAAATGTGAACAAAACTGTAAAAATCTTGAGCATAGAATTGGGAAAACCTGAGGATTGAAAAAAAAATAATTGTTAGAATGTTAGGGAAATAAAATAATAAATTTAACTTTTCAAGATTTTTTATACTCATAAACATTCTGGAATAGATTTAGATTTCTTTGTATTTTAAAGTTTATGGAGATTCACATAACACAAATCAAACAGAGGGCCTACAGAAGTTTAACATGCAGTAAACACACAAAACTCTAAAATAAATATTTGGAATCATTTTTACACTACTATCTTCTTCTTCTTCTTCGTTCTTAATTATTAGTGCTGAAGGGGATCAAGATTTATCTGCCAGTGGGTTTGAAATCGAGACTTTGTTCGAATTTATCAACCATGAGCTTTTTGCCGACTCGACCACACCTCCAACACAATTAAGCGTTACGTGTCAACTGGTTATGCGCCATTGAGGCCATTGACTCCGATTTCAGCCTGCTTTTCTTTTTGGATTTGCTTCCATAGCCTTTGTCCAACCAAGAACAAACTACAAGGCAGCAGTTGTTTAATTTTGGAGTTGTCTCTCCTAGACGAGTGGCTATCCCCAGCTAACGAGCCTCATCTGCCCGAGGGTTCGAACTCGAGACTTTTCGGTTTAGCAACCATGAGCTTTACCGAGTCGACCACGCCGACCCCTTTACACTACTATGAAAGTAATCACACTGCAAGACATATGTACGCCCTGCTAGGGTTGGGGATAACTAAAATCTACCCTTCTAGGCTTATATAACTACTGTCCGGTCAGTGCAAGTCCGGCTAAACCCAGACTGGTTAATAACCTTAACCTTAGCCTAAATAAAAACAAAAAAACTTTAGCAATTCAGTGAATTTATTAAATGGAACTAATCAAGATGTTGTAAAAAAATGAATAGATAAAAAAACTACAGACACTACTAAACCAAACAGACATTAACGTGACAAAACAATATATACAAAACAATATACACAAAACATTACGTTCGACTATTTGATGGTGCTGCACCGACTTATGATGCCTAGGATGGTCCAGGCTCTGACACACAGAAACCTCCCTTCATCCTTTCTCGACATCCAAAAGTCCACACCAAACAAAACACAACGTGCAGCCACTACGTACAACCACTACGTACAATACATTACGTAGAAAACATTACGTACAAAACAATACGTACAAAACATTGCGTACAAAACTATATACACAAAACACCAGCCAAGTTGCACAAGCAACCTCACTGGAAGGGGGGGGGGGGGGAAGAAAAGGAAAACATAAGAAAATGCATGGACAAATATGTACATCAATATATACATAATAATAAAGTAAAATAATCAAGTAAATAACACACACACACACACACACATTCGCACCAGTTTAGGAAACACTCCTAAACATAACGACCTAAACCATGTGGTCTAAAACACGCCAAGGAAATATAAAATTATATTTCAAATAGGACACACCACATGTGTACCAGAAATGCCAATGCTCACTATCTCGTTTTAGACGAAAATGAAAGAAAACGAGAAACATCGGCAGCCGCAGTCATACAAACCAAACATAAAAATAAAATAAAAAAACAAATACCTTCACGCATGAGGTGCGCCACGCGCCCACACAGAAACCGACCCGATCTGCATCTCGCCTCGGATCAAAGGAACAAAATTATCCGAGCGGTCAGCTTTTATACTGACCGCTTCGGGCGGAAGGGGAATCCCCGTAGCTGCTGTCCAGCGGACCATTCACTCACAGATTCGCACCCAATAAAATAATACAAAATAAATAATCCATTCACCCACTCAGACATATAGACGCATTGGTTAATTATTGTGGTAGACAATGTGCATTAGCTTTTTTTAAAATTCGCTATGAGAAACATTATACTATTATAATCTACATGAACTTAAAAATGAACAGCATTAATTGTAAAAGTTAACATTAAATTAAACGGTTTCAACATCGTGTATGCTGTACACTTAAGAAATGTTTATTTTTCTTATGTAAAAAATGTTTTAACACAGGTAGAAAAAAATGTGATCAAACGTTTTCAAACACGCTTGCACCTTTTAAAATAATAAAAATTAATTAGGACAATATTTTTACTGAATGTTTTCCTGGAAAAAATAATTTACCTTAAATTGATAGATTTTCCTGTAGCAACTGTAATTGTCCATGTACAAGGGATCAATGAATAATAGTTTTCTGGATAATAGGGTGATGTTATGTTTCCTGTACTTGCATTTAATGTGAAATTGCAAACTGAGAATGATGAAAAATATGAGTTAATGAATTGAGATTTACTAGAATAAATTTTGATTAAACTATTAAATGCAAGAATAGTATTCTTTCCCTTCCTAAAGTTTACATTGTCATTTATATTTATAAACAATGCATCTGTACTAAAAAAAATGGAAGTATTGTTTTAACTGACTAATCTATTTACCAAAATGAATTTTTCCAAAAAAAAACAATTCAATTTCAATTTTTACCTATTGGTGTGCAGGTTCCATTAGCTACCTTTTCATAACCCTGATTACAATCACATCTATAGCTTCCTATGGTGTTCACACAATGATAATTGCCAGTTGTCTCCCTGCAAACCCTGAGGTTGCCGCTAAATCTACACTCATCGACGTCATCAGCACATGTGCTGCCTGACCAGCCAGGTAAACAGATACACTGACCAGTGACATTGTCACAACGTTGGGTGTTAGTCTTGTCACAAGTGCTGCAACTCCTTTCACAGTTTCTTCCATAAGTCAAGTTGGTGCATGCTAAAACAGTGGTATAAAACTATTAAAACAGTGAGGAGGGATCAAGAACATTATGAAAACAAAAACTAAAAGGCAATCAATAATCGATGTTTCTATAATTTTTTTACAGAAATGTTTACTGAGCTTGGTCAACTTCTGTAAGCCCATAATGTTTTTTTTTAATCGCAATTCACAAGTTTTTTTTTTTTTTTAAATCGAGTGATACCGGTTAGAACTTAGGTTCTTTTTCTAAAGACTGGTGGTATTACAAAAAGTTAAAGGCTTCGATAATATTTTACATTTTTAGACAGCATAAAATAAACATACCATTAAAACATGTTGTCTTTAAACATAATGATAAACATTCAAATCACCTAGACATTGACTGCCATCCAACTTTGTGTTGTACGGACAGTAGCACTGCTCTGTTGGAGTGACCTGCCCTTGAAAAGTTACCTTCCCACATAAACCCGGACAAGCACTGGTACAGGATGCGTTAGTGTCAGCTTTAAAAAAAATAGCAGCGATAAAAATCTTGTAAGTTTTAAAATGATTGAAAATTTAAAATAATCAAAAATGTTGGAGGATGTTAAACTCCCTATTGTTAAATACATAGAAATAGAAAAATATTACACTAAAATACGCCGATATGTTTATGTTTGTTACATTACTTTACGACGTAGTTCTCTGAGTTAACCTTTGTACTCTATTCATATATACAGACAGCTCAGAAGACTTGTCCTGTTTCTACCTTTAACTGGTACACATCAGATACATAACACAGTTAACACACTGAACACTCAAGGGACACAATACAAGAGACATAACAATCGCTAACAAGACATAACAATAACATCCGCACTGGTTTTTTTTTCTTCTTTTTGTACATGTGTAGGCATTCATATGTAATACAATAGTAAGAGCCGTCTAGTTTGAAACCATTGTAATTTGTGATATTACCTTGGCAAGCTCCGGTTGTTTCATTTCTAACCAAACCAGCCTGACATTCACATTCAAAACTCCCAGGTTTGTTCTTACAGATTTGATAGTCGCGTGGACAAGCTTCATTGAGGGGAGGTGCACACTCGTCAATGTCAGTTCCACAGGTAGGTGACGTCCATCCTTTCTTACAGGTACACGAGCCGTTAAAGTTGTTGCAAAATACAGTGTTCTCTGCTAGACAGCTGCAGTTTTGTGTACATCTTTGTGGACCATACGTCATTGGTTGACATGCTAGTTAAATATAAACACACGTGTTTACACTTGATAGCGGTATAAAAAATGATTGTGTGTAACGTGTGTATAAGTTTAGAAACTAGGTTAAACGTGTGCTTAAGTTGGGCTACAGTTGAGTAGAGTGGGACACTAACATTAGAGATAAGTGTGTTCGTTATCTAAAAATAGAGAGCCAAATGCTAATTTGCGTGTTGCTAAATAGATTTATTGTAACATTGCCTAAGTAGGTATAGGATAAGGATATGATGGTAACACACTTGGGTTACGTGCTTTAAGGGGCTGATCATGAGAGACAAAACACACACTAGTTGCGTTACTGGACCATCCATTATTCGACGCAGTCAAGTGTAGACGCACGTTTGCTTCGTACGATTTGATGTAAACAAATACTATAATGTGGAGGACACAATGGTCTAGTCCTAACAATGAATTGCTTTATGATAGCCTTGTTTCAAAGGATGGCAATACAGGATGTCAGAATGCAATATAAAATCCCAAGCACAAGCAATCATTAATCGGGTCAATACTATTTCACTGACTACGTCTAAGTCAGCACATTTTGACATGATCACTCAAAGCAGTGGCGTTGTTAGGTCGGGTGTCACCCGGTGCGGCACTTGATGTTGTCACACCCCCTCCACCAGAAAAAAAAATATGGGAATAGGGCATTACCCCCCCCCCCCACCGTCAATTATCCCCCCCCCCCCGGACATTCCACCCCCTCCCCCGTCACTACCCCCGGAGTAATTCCCCCCTGTCAATTACCCCCCGCACAGTGTCAGGGTTAGGGTTAGGGTTAGGGCTAGGGCTAGGGCCAGGGCCAGGGATAGGGATAGGGATAGGGATAGGGATAGGGATAGGGATAGGGATAGGGATAGGGATAGGGATAGGGATAGGGATAGGGATAGGGATAGGGATAGGGATAGGGATAGGGTTAATGCTAGGGATAGGGTTAATGCTAGGGATAGGGTTAATGCTAGGGATTGGGCTAGGGTTATGCCACCTATTAATTAATGTGGTAAAAGCGTTATTTTCATCGTAAATTATTAGATTTTTTTTTCATCCCCCCCCCCTCCTCCGGTCGTTGATTATCAGTTATTCAAAATATTCAACAAAGCCTTTTTCCTCTGTAAATTCTGCACTAGGTGTCGACCCCATTATCATAAAACATTGGATGCCTGTGTAAATTTAGTACATTCAGCTCCTTTACTGCTCATAACACGTAGCTGCTTTTGTTTTAAACAAATGAAAAGATCGTTTATTTAACGATTCAAATGTAAATAATTATTTGAATTATTACGTACTGAAAATTACAACAATTTGATCACATTAATAATTACTTGTTTACCATGAGTCCAGTAGTTAGCCAGGAATCCTTGTCTCTGATTGAAAGCGTCCGATGTAAAAGTAACATAAACTTTATTTGATGTTGAACGCACAAAAAGACTTGTCAACTCTGTAGAATTCTTGTACCTGCATAGCTGCTGTATGACAGGTGACCTTATGCTGTCTCCGTCATAAATAACAGCATAATCTGGGCATGCGTCCATGTAGCCATCGAAATCTACAATTTTGAATCTGCAAAGGAAAATATTTACAAATCATTTAATTTTAAGATATACTTTGATGACCTGTGTTATCCGTCGGATCTCTTTTAATCTTGTGAGCTTATTGTAGCCGTAGTTCAAACCCACGACAGATGAGCCTCGATAGTTGGGAAAAGTCCTAAAAACAACCACCAGCTTTTAGTTTGTTCTTTGATGGACAAGGGCCATGGAAGCAAATCCAGAAAGAAACACAGGCTGAAATCGAAATCATCGGAACAGACGACACATACCATGTTGACACGTAATACTTAATTGTGTTTAAAAAAATCCTGTCCAACATTACAATTTAGAAAGAATAAGAAGACTTTATTATTAAAGTGTATCCTTTTTTCTCTTTAATAACATTCGTGTGGGTTTACTACACTCATCGTCTCACATTGTTGGCTGTCATAGATTAGGAAACGCAAATAGCTGTTACCCGAAATAAATACAGCCCTTAAGGCGGATTTCTCTTTTTTGTATAATAGGTATTCGTCGCCATGAGTTATGAGTTAAGTTACAATAAGTAAATTGACCGAATTTCCAATACGAATGCTGGAGAGAGGTTGAGATATGAATTGATTAGGAGGCGTAAATGTCACCGATATCACCGATACTTTCAATAAAATATAAAATGAATTCTATCACATGCCAATTTATTTAAGTTATTTATATTAAAATGTGGGTGTGAATTGTTTCTGTATGACTATTTCCCCAAAAAAGAGCCCGAAAGAAAAGATTATTGCTAGTGCACGTAACAATTATATCTAGAAGGCTTTCAAGTAACTTTTCACTCAGAGTTCTCAATTTTATAAAAATCAAACATCATGTATACAATACGGCAATGATTGAATACCTTTAAACGGCAGCTGTCTTCGAATTCTACACCACCGTTAAAGCCATAATTTAAAGCGCAACATGTGTATACAGCGAACCACTCACGAATGCATTAGGCCATCCTTGAGCAGTCGTTTGTGTTGGGTGTGGAAAAAACCCTGCCCCAGGCGGCACTTAATTTGCATATTAAACTACCAATAGCTCATGCGTAAAGATAAGCCACTACTCTACATAAGCCTAGTCACTATAGGTCTCAAATTAATAAATCCCCCCCCCCCCCCCCCCGCAACACTGCATGCCATCCTTTTTATTCTAACCAGTCAGGTGGGATATTTATTCGAAAATGTTTTCACTATAAAATAAAAAAACACACCTAATTTTGAGCAAGTTGAATCGTTAAATAGTATACAAAGACAAACATGAACTTACTCAAGATTTATAATCTCGTTGACCCCGGCCATGATTGTCCAGTTACATTTGGCATTGTTGGGGTAGCTGCTGGGGTAGTTTGGTGACGATATAGTTCCGCCTGGTCCGACAAGTTTTCCACCGCATTCTTGCGATAAAAAAACAAAATGGCTACAAAAAATTTTATTTTTTTTCTGACTGCATTAATCATTTTAAAACAAGTTTTTAAATTTTTTTTTTATATTTTTAAATAACCATTCGTTTTTGTCCCTTTGCGTTTTACAGAAATACCATAAAAATATACATTATTTAATATATATCTATATATATATATATATATATATATATATATATATATATATATATATATATATATATATATATATATATATATATATATTTATACATACATATATATATATATATATATATATATATATATATATATATATATATATATATATATATATATATATATATATATATATATATATATATATATATACATATATATATATTTATATATATATTTATACATATATATATATATATATATATATATATATATATATATATATATATATATATATATATATGAAATCCAAATAATACACATTTTCCGAGAGAAAAAATCGTAGACAAATCAGATTATTCCTCTGAAAACTGTTTCTATAGCTTGGTTCTTTCGATGAAAATGTTTATCCAATCTATATACCACTAAAACTCAAGTTTGTTTACATGTTTGCATATTTTTTTTTTCTGATTGGGTAATGGAGAGAATCTGCTCTACGTGGAGAGCTGTAAAATAGTATGTAGGTAGAGAACAATTTTTGTTTTCAGACAGACTGTTAATCACAAATTTATTTAAAGATGTTAATTAAATAATTGATTTATTTTATATGTAGATTAACCACATTGATTTTAAAATTTTCAAGCAATGGTTTACTATGGCTGAATAGTGACGTCACATGATTTGTTTACTTTTTAGTACATAAAATGGCGGCTTCCATCATAGACTGTGTGGCCCATTGTGGCCTATTGATTACGCCGCTTAGAAGTAAAATATATAAGTTATTAACTTCCCTAGAGTACGATCCTTGATAGCTAAGAGGTTAGCACAATATGTTACCATGCGGGTGGCTTGGGTCCTAGACTTGCCAGTGTTAGTTTTTTTTTTGTTGTTTTTATTTTTTTTGTTTTTTTTTTGTTTTTAGTTGTGAATGTTTATGTTGCCTTTGCCTATTGGAACGTAGCGGGATACAGGTCAGGTGAAGTAGAGTTCACCTGTTTCTTTGTCCTCAGTATATAACGTGGACAGTGTCGTCAGAGCCATGCTCGGCCGGAATCTTTTTTTTTTTAAAGATAAAACATGTTGTCTGAGACTTGGCGGAACACTGGGCAGGTGAAGTAGTTTTGGTAGGTGTAAAGTTCACATGTGACGACAGCATATGAAGAGATTGTGTGGTCAGACCAAGGCTCAGCAAAAATCTGTGTTTTCACAGACAAAAACATGTCTGAGTTGGGAGGGCACTGGGCAGGTGAAATAAAGTTGACCTGTTTTTCTGACTTCAGCAAATGAAAAGATTTTGTTGTCAGACCCATGCTCAGACGAAGTCAGTGTTTTTAAAAGACAAAAACGTCTGAGGTGTGACGCCTTTTTAAATGTGGGGTCTGGTTATTTTGCGATGATTAGTGACAGACGTGATGTCATTTATGGATGACCCCGAAATCCGCAGTTATCTAACTAGATAACGGGTAGTCTAGTGAAAAATTAAAACTGGCCTCAAAGAAGTAAAACTTAATTTTAAAAATAATGTAACCACTCTTGGTAATAAAAATCATCCTATTTGTTTATCATTTTTTGTTATTACCTGTATACGTCTGACAGCAAACTAAGATTGTAAAACTATTAATAATGCAGTAAATTACAAATGGTGAAACTTGCATTTCGAAAGATCTGGAGAAAAAAAAGTTAACTACATTTAACAAACTAATTAATTTTGCTTTACAAAATGACAACGAATAAGCAAACATACCAAGTCAAAGTGAAATCAATATATATATATATATATAATATATATATATATATATATATATATATATATATATATATATATATATATATATATATATATATATATATATATATATATATATATATATATATATATATATATATATATATATATATATATATATATATATATATATATATATATATATATATATATATATATATATATATATATATATATATATATATATATATATATATATATATATATATATATATATATATATATATATATATATATATATATATATATATATATATATATATATATATATATATATATATATATATATATATATATATATATATATATATATATATATATATATATATATATATATATATATATATATATATATATATATATATATATATATATATATATATATATATATATATATATATATATATATATATATATATATATATATATATATATATATATATATATATATATATATATATATATATATATATATATATATATATATATATATATATATATATATATATATATATATATATATATATATATACTTACATGTCTTTTCTTTTTGTGAAGTTATCTCTAAGCTCTAGTTGTGTTTACGTCTATTGGGTTTATTATGCTTTTTGAGATTGTTATTTAGAATGTACTTATTATTTTTTATTAGGTTATTTTTGTAATGTTTTTTTTTTGTAATATTTGTTATGCCGCCAGACAAATGTTCTGCGCGTATAAACTTGGGATTGAGGATTTTAATGGAAGGTACCTCTGTTTGAATACTTGTCTGCGCGGGCACTAAGATGGTCACGTAAAGCCATTGCTCATAGTCTCAGACCCACCAACGCTTAGTCAGAATGAGACCAGATGAAGCCAACACTTCAAAGAGTGCCGCCACCTGAAGCCCTGTACACGTTGAGTTACCTGGACAGAGAACAGCCCTGTTGGACGGTGAATAGACCTGGTCAAGACAACGGACGCAATCCTGACACCGCTTCGCCTCCACAGTGGGGTTATCTAAGAACGAACCGCCAGCTACGTACACCTATGTCGGCACAAATAAAGGTAGAAAGTCCCGTCGTCCAAGTTTCCAGCGACGGAATGTTACGTCATTGTTCGCCACCGCATCTGTCAGCTTCATTTCATTGTATAACCACTCTACGTGGACGTCTCAAACAGCGTGGAGATTAGATTGTTGCGTCATCACATTCTTACAATATCTGTGAGCGGGTGAATGGATTATTTATTTTATACTAATTTATTTGGTGCGAGTCTGCTGTGAGAAAATGGTCCAATGGACAACGGCCACGGGGCTCCCCTTCCGCCCGAAGCGGCCAGTATATAAACTGACCACTCGGATATTTTCTTTCTGTTTTGACCGCCAGAATGTAGGTCAGGTCAGCTTCTGTGGTAGCGCTTTGTGCGTTGGAGGTATTTGTTTTTATTTTACTTTTATATGAGTGACTTGTATGAATGCGACTGCCGATGTTTCTCGTTTTCTTTCATTTTCGTCTAAAACGAGATAGTGAGCATCGGCATGTCTAGTATGCACGTGGTGTGTTATTTTGAAAGATTTAAAATTTATTTTTGTATTTTCTAAACCCTTGGCGGCGTGTGTTTTCGGAGCACGTGGTTTAGGTCAGTGTGTTTAGGAATGTTTCCTAAACTGGTGCGAATGCGTGTGTGCATTTAATTGTTTTACTTTATTATGATGTGTTGTTATTGTGGGTCCCCCACGATGACTAGGATTGGCTTAGTCAATAGTCGGTTGTTTTAGACAGTAATTAGATGATTATATTTTAGTTGCCTCGAGTTTTAGGTTGTTTAAAATTAATGTGTGTGCTGTTTCGTGCAACGTCATGTTGAGTATCGCTTACTTTGTGTCTGCCTTCATTGGGGGCCTTAGCGGAGTGTGTTAACTTCAATGTTATCAATATGGATGTTGTTTAGGTAGACCAATGGCTTCGGGCTGCTTCTTGTGTAGGAAAGATTGGTTCTACAATGAATTTGTTTTACACGTTATTTTTAAGTTGCTGGTTCTTGGTTAGACAGTGGTTAGTTGTGTTTTTGAGAATTGTTTAAGAATTGTAATCGTAGGGATTAGTTTTACTCGAGGCTTTAGCTAGATAGTAGTAGTAGGTAGCATTTTGAACTTGTGTATATATTTATGTATATATCTGCCATTACCATGCATTTTTCTTATGTTTTCCTTTTCTTTGTCTCTCCCCCCCCCCCCCTTCCTGTGAGGTTGCTTGTGCGACTTGGCTGGGTGTTTTGTTTGGTGTAAAAAGTTTGTTGTGTACGTATTGTTTTCTACGTAATGTATTGTACGTAAAGTATTGTACGTAGTGGTTTTACGTAGTGTTTTGTTTGGTGTGGACTTTTGGATGTCGAGAATGGATGAAGGGAGGTTTCTGTGTGTCAGGGCCTGGACCATCCTAGACATCATAAGTCGGTGCAGCACCATCAAATAGTCGAACGTAATGTTTTGTTCCATTAAGTCTGTTTAGTTTTGTTTGGTTTTGTTTTGTCTGTTTTGTGTCAGTAGTTTTTATCTATTCTTTTTTTTTTGTGATTTTCCATTGGTTCCATATTTTTGGTAAATAAATTTTATTAATTGTCAAAGTTTTTGTTTTATTTTAGTAGTTTTTTTTTTTATTTTAGACTAAGGATAAGATATAACCACCGTGGGTTTCACCACGGTTGCACTGACCCAACAGTTAGATAGATTTAAGGTATCCCCCCCCCTATCAGGGCTTACATATCAAAGTGTACACACAAAAATTATATGTATACACATTTAGAATATGGTTTAACTAACAAATATTGTAATTAAATGTAGATTTCTAGAAGTAAAATAATAACAGAAATGAAGATAGAAGTTGCAGGTTAGTTTACTAGGTTCAGAAAAGTTTATTTGTATACATAAGTCTAGTTCTAGTAGTAAGATGTGTTAGTTGTTAGTTATATGTATTGCAGTATATTGTCTTGCCTACAATAACTACTAAGTACATAATGTATACCTGTAGACTAGTAATAGTCCATTCGTCTACATATAACATAGATCTTTATGGTAAATGTTAATCAGGAGACATAAAACTGTAAACCAATTAGGCTATTCTGAACACATGAATCTCATTTATATTTATGAATTTCAACTACAGTGTCTTTTAAAAAGTGATTGATTATGTTATATTTTATCTTTTATAAAGCATAACTATACACACATTTGATTTAGATAACAACATTTGAAAACATCGCTCCATACCTATCTAAATAAACCTACTTTTGCAAACGTGTCTGGATCCAATAGAAGGCGTAGAGTTATAAAAGATATGTCACTTTGCATTATGTTTTTGTGTGTGGGATCAGACCACTTACCAGAGGCGTAGCGAGGGGGGGGGTGCGGACCGCACCGTGTGACACCATTTACAGGGGTGACACCAAGGCAAAAATAACAAAATATATAGAGAAAAATGATAATTCCACTTTATTATTTATTCGAGTGTTAAATAGTCTTTTAAGAGGTTCAAATCGAAAGTTTGATGGGGTGCAAATCGAAAATTAAAAGTTTAATCCCGGGAAGGGGGGTCGCTACGCCTCTGGGGGGGGGGTGACACCATTGAGTGCCGAACCGGGTGACACCCGACCTCGCTACGCCACTGCCACTTACCACTTGCATATCTGACTAATGACGATAGCCTGATGTAATTTACTCACTTGTTGTATTTGATAAGCGAGGTCAGTCAAAAACATATTGATTATTTTAGCAACAAACAAAAAATTGATAGGAAATGTTTAACGATCGCCGTCAACAGAAAATTGGTGGCCTATTGTTCAGTCTATTAATCCGTCACTGTGAATTAGCTATGGCTTTATCACTTCTTTTTCTGTTCCTTTAAGATAAATCTAATCGTATCCTTGAAAATCCCACCTGGCGTCTAGGTTAGGTTTTAATTCTTATCATTAATTGAATACATAAAAACAACGTTGATAACCTACCTGTCACTCCAAACAACAAGACCTAAAAATTCAAAACACTTTTTCAATAATAGAGGGGTTACAAAGCTAAAACAACCCGAGGTAAATAAATGGAATATTTTAGCATTTCATTTTCTCTGGCGTCTCAATGCTAACGCAGATGCGAGGGATTTCTTGCTAAGCTAACGGGTTGGCCTCTCTTGTTTCATACCTTGTTAAAATATCAAACCTGAGCGCTGAATTGATGACGTCATATTCGAGCTGCACTGACAGATTAGTGTCAGTCTTTTTTACTTTCTCGTATATACGAGGTATAGAGAAAGTCTTGTAATCGTGCTCAAAAATTGCATGAAATTTTGACAGTTTTCACCGTTTTACACCTTAGTCCTTCATCACATCCGGAGTATAGAGGACTTATGTTAATCAGGCAAAAATTATAAATGCAAATATATAAACATTTTGGCGTTTTATGCGATATCGAGTCGGAAAAAACTGCACTTTGCAATTCTGTCCGTATGTCTATGTGTCTGTCTGTGAGTAAACACGATAACTTGAGTACCGTTACAGCTAGGTTGATGAAATATCATATATATATATATATATATATATATATAAGTATTTTATCAAAATCGTAGATCCTGATCAACTTTTGAGCGATTTCCGATAACCGGAAGTGGTACTTTTTCTACTTTGAATTTTTCAAAAGCCTATAACTTGCGTACTATTTTAGATAGATGCATGAAATTTAACACGTAAGTAAAAGATCTAATTCTCTACCTTCTGTTAAATTTTGAGTAATTTCCGTTGACCTGAAGTACTAATTTACGCTATTTCCGATTTCTCAAAAAACGCATGTAAATTTATAAAGTACTAATAATATCCCGCACTTTTATGCATATTTTATTAGGCGTTCACTTGGTGTGGGACGGAGTGGTCTAACGGTAGAGAGCTGGACTGCTAACCCGTTAGTCTCGAGTTCGAATCCGGGTACAAGTCAGTAGACCTGAGTCCACCTAACTCTGATGGGTACCTAACTACTGTTAGGGAAAGTAAAGGCGGTTGGGCATAGTGCTGACCACACTATCTATTCATATCCCGAGGTCACAGTAACAAGTGAACTCTACTTCACTTGTCCCATAGACCGTCAGGTTTGAAAGGGAAACTTTTCACTTGGTGTGCCATTCTTTTTTTTTACGAGATTCTATTCTATTATAAAAAGTTTAAGTAATTAAAAATGGATAACAAATAGTGTCTATGTCCTGAGTTGCCATCCCTTGTAATTTTATATTAGAATATTCGAGAAAGTTTAGGGGAGATCACTCCCGGTTTATTTTTCTCTGTCCCCCGCGTGTCTACGAGACACATGCAGCAAAAGTGAGAGTCAACCATGATGGTTTATTTAGTCTTTGAATCTTTTTATCTTTTCCTTTATACTTTTTTTAGATTAAATCGGCTTTAAATGGCGTTTTCGACTTTTTAGGTAAAATAAATAAATAGTAGGGTGAGCTTTCCAATGGCCACACTTAGGTTCAGCTGTAGATCTGATACAGTATTGTGAACATCGGGTCCTTAGTTAACTTCTTCAGGTTGTAGTAGATAATTAAATGATGTGCAATTAGAAATTTTTATCAAATAATAGATTTTTGCAATTTTTTCTTTCTAAATGATTGTGTTAGCAATTGTTTTAGAATTATTTTCCATATTTAATTTTGTCAGGCGTTGGTAAAAGTTACCTTATTAGCAATAACAAATCGTATATCAATATAGATCGTAATTTGCCTTTTTTGTGTTTGAATTTAATTTAATTTTTTAAATTTAATGTTCGGAAGTTTGTATAGACACAAGAGACTTAAATAAGAATGTAAATAGCCTACATGTTTGCCTATGGTTAATTTTTCGATGTGAGTTTGATTTAGCAAAGCATGCAACTCAAATTTAAATTTCTGATTATGATTGCATGAAAGCGTATTCATTTTTTTTTTTTTTTTGCGATCATTGTTTGAAACGAGATGAGAGGCTGGAGAAACGAATGAATTTGAATCAAAATTAAAGCAGCTTGAGAACGACGCCACCTAGCTGTCTGAGAATGTGACATTTGTACAGATTACAAGCAACATAAGGGTATAAAATAGAGAAGGTTCCATGACGAAGGATAGAGGATATTCAGAAAAAATCCTTAAGCCGTCTTAAACTCCTGAAAACTGACAACCTCTCTACAATAAGCGAAGAAAGGTTGTCCGTCTTACCTCTACATTTAAACGGCAATTAGATTCAGAAGGTTGTGTCATTCGGACTGGATATAGACCGTCACCCACCTACAGATCGATTTTAATTCACAAGTTGCTTAACTTGTCAGGTTCGATTCGGCTAACCATTTTTTTTATACTTGCGGCCTATTAACTTATGGGTTTAAAGAAAATTCTAGAAACGTAGAGTAATTGTTAAACTAAAGTGTACCCCGTAGAACACGATTTTTCTCATCTTTGATATTTCAATACTAGCAGGAAGGGAAAATGCAGGTCCCTTGTCTGTCAGTGTGTTTTCCAAATACATCTTGTACAGATACACATATTTTTAGGTAGATTGTGTTGAAAACTCTATGAATCAATATGGGGATGGGGGGGGGGGGGTGAAGTTGAATACATGCACAGAAAAATAAACACATTCTCACACAACTTCAAGAGCTTAAGTATAACTCAAAATGATTGGCACGAACAAATGTACATTATGAACATATACTTAAATAAGTCGGTTAAACTTTGTTAAATATAAATACATATATTTAGATTTCATGTTATGTGCCCAGGGGATAGCGTGACCCGCATCTCCCCGGGTTCCCCTGTGATCACAATGGAGCCTATGTTCGTTTAAAATAAAATTCTATGGGCAATAATAATCGTTGACTATATTGAATCAGGCGCGTCCTCATGCGCCTCGGATGGTGCTATTTGGCGCCTGGAAATTTCGCTCGCAAACTGTACCAATAGACAGGGGAATTAAGATACATAAATTCTTCTGTTTCATAATTAATATATATATATATATATATATATATATATATATATATATCACCCAATTCTGATGGGTACCTAACTCACGTTAGGGAAAGTAAAGGCGGCTGGGCATAGTACTGACCTCTCTATCTCTTCATATGCCGAGATCACAGAAACAAGTGAACTCTACTTCACTTGCCCCACAGACCGTCAGGTTTGAAAGAAAAACATTACGTTTGTTTGTTGGTTGTAATTAGGCTTAAGTTTAGAGTTTAAGTTATGTTTTAGAGTTATGTGTTATTTCTCAAACGTCCATATTTGCATCTAGAATTTTAATTAGAAAATTAATACATATACCAAATCTGGCAATGACAGGTATACGCTGCTTCACTGTCCTTTACAGATTGTTTTTTCACAAAAGCCAGTGCTGGATCTGGCCGGCTATTCCACCTATAAATAAACTCACCTGTACGAGATGCCTTCGGAAAATGTTCTTAAAAACTGACAGGCACGGAACCTGCAGTTTCCCTTCCTGCTAGTATTGTCATGGTTAAGAAAAAATTATTTATCTACGGCACACTTTAGGCAAATATTCCCCTACGTTTCTAGACTGATCTTAAAATTCAAAGTTAATAGACCTTTCCTTTTAAAAGAGGGATGGTTGAATTGAGCCTGACAACAGAAGTAAATGCTACACTGGTGAACTAAGATCGATCTGTTGGCGGGTGACGGTATATATGCACAGCGAATACTGCAAGAATTAAGGTTTTTAGTTATGCTACTAAGTTGTGTAAATTGTTTTGTTCTTCTCTTATGTACCTGTAGTCAATAGTGTTATACATTCACGACAGTTATTTTTTTTCCATTTTGTAGTGTTATTACAGTTTGATCGCTTTTAAATTTTTTAAAACTATGTAAATTTTTATAACAGTTATTGTTATTTTAATTGGTAACTTTTTTAATGTTACGCACCCTTACATACTGAAATTGAAACATTATACAAAGAAATAGGAAGTCGTCAATCATCTTTGTGTTGTAAAGCTTTATTAAAGAATACACATATATATATATATATATATATATATATATATATATATATATATATATATATATATATGTATGTATTAGAGATAAATTTGTCAAGATATATAAAGAATAAAAAATGATATGTAAAAGTGATTTAAAGACACGAATGGTAAGTATTCTGCATTAGAAACTGTCTCTTCTTTCTGCCCATCCATCTGATAAAGAAATCAATTTATATATATATATATATATATATATATATATATATATATATATATATATATATATATATATATATATATATATATATATATATATATATATATATATATATATATATATATATATATATATATATATATATATATATATATATATATATATATATATATATATATATATATATGTGTGTGTGTGTGTGTGTGTCTGTGTATATTATTTAATTTATTTATATACACAGTGGTACCTCGACAAAAGAGTGCCTCAACAATACGAGACTTTTTAAATTAGAGCAGGCAGTGTAGTGAGGGATATTTTATGCTTTGAGTTACATTTAAATTTTGATATACGGGATAAGCATGTCAAGGAAAAGCAACGCCCCAAAAAAATTGCATCAGAACCTGCTATTTAAGGTCACTTGCCTTAATTTGCACACCATTTTGAAAGGCACGAACATACAAACCTAGTTAATAGGTTTTGATTTAAATATCATGGGATGTGACTATTAATAAACGTAAGCACTTTATACAACAATCTTAATCTATCTGGTTTATATTAAATAAGATAATAAGATATATGCAGGAAAACCTTAATGTTTTTCATATTTTAGAACATAAATCAAAGAGTTTCATGTATCAAAAGGGGATCAAAATTAAATTTCTTCTAACTGTTGACCTACCCTGCCTTTTTATACATACTATTAATAGCAATGCCACTTTAAACAAAATTCCAAAAGTTAATTTAAATTTAATTCCAAAAGCTAAAAATTATCAAGAAAAACATGTAATTCTATGTTTTTTATCTATACAAAGTTTGAAAAAGAATCAAAAGTTGCCTTTATAATATTTTTTTTGAGTGAAGTCTAAACTGTTTTTATAAATGGAAAACATAATTAATTATCTATAACTATTACCTAAAATAGCTGTAAAAAATTCCCATATCTATTTTTACACATTTGTTTTCTAACAATGATTTAAAAATCGCCTACATGTAAAAATGATAACTACTTTTAGATAAATCTTTACCTGTTTCTGAAAGCAATATTGAAAGATTTTTATATTAACCAAACAAACCTCTTACCCTATCCGTACTGCAGCTTAAACCCTCTGCCAGCAATAGACTCATCAGATTTGAAAACAATGAACACTCCCTTCCCTGTAGAAGTTATAGCTTGAGGCAGGACACCCCCACACACTAGACTCAGCAATGGAGCGCTGGAACTGGTGCCATCATAGACTTTAACACTGTCATATGGACAGGTGGAGCCTCCCTCCATGTCAATGTCCAGGAAACTGAAACAGTTCAAATAGAGTTGGTAAACTAATTTCAAATATACTATTACATTATCAATGATAAACTATTTTAACCATCAGAATTGTTGAACATACTTAGATCTAGATCTATAGTTAAATTTTTACTATAATCATATATTCTTTTTAAAAATGTATAATAACTGAAATAGTTTTATGATGTCAGGAAAATATGTGTAAGACTAAATTATTTAAATTATTGTGCATACAATAAATACTTTACCTCAGTTTGGTGAATGTGTTGGTCTTGGCAGGTATTGTCCAGTAACAGGTAGTATTGGCGCCATATTTCTGTGGATATCCTGGGCTGACAATAAGACCTGAGCTGCTGGTTACTGTTGTGTTACAGGCTGAGGGTAAGACATAATCAAAACATAAATAGACTGCTTAAAACATGTAATTTTAAACACTTAAGTGCTACAAACTTAAAAGCTACAATCAAGTTTTTCCCTTAACTTCAATACTAATTAACTTTTATTAATCTTCACCAAGCATAAACATTACCATTGATTTCAAGACATTTTGTGCCAGAAACTGTATCCAATCTCATCCATTCAGGACAAACACATTTCTCAAATCGTGGATTGACTGAAACTATCTGGCAACTATGTGAACACTGTAGGGTTTTACATTGGCCTGGAACAAATAAGCACACACAAATATGACTGTAAATAGTTAATTTGCCATTAGCGTGATCATTTTAACTGAATGAGCTAAAGAATTAAAACATAATTCAATCAGAATATAATTTTAAACTTTATTTGTTAATCTTTTTAAAAACTTTTATTAAAATATAATTATTTCTATTTAACCAAAAAATTATTTTTAGTAAACATTTATTTAAGTTTAGCAAGCTAGAAAAGAAAAATAAATTTAAAATAACAAAGTATGAGGAAATCTTACTTTCAATAGCATATGATGCAATAAAGCCTTTAAAATTCTCAGAACCATCAGATGTGAATGTGACGGTCAAAGAATTTCCTGAAGAAGTGACCAGCCCTGGTGCATCAGTACAGTACTGTCCAATCAGGTCAGCATTTGTATCCCTGCCATCATACACCTCCAGGTAGTCATACGGGCAGCCTTCTACCACAAACTCAGTAATGCTGAGAGACACAATTTTCAACATAAATGAAAGGTAAACTAAAAACTAATTCACATTAAATAAAATGTTCATTACTCGATGAAGGCTATTTTTATTTTATTAACACAAAACATAATTCTAGACAAAAATTAACTTTTACTAGACATATCATATTGTGAAAACTCTTAATAATTGATTCTGCATACATTCTTATGCCTTTTAAAAATAATCTTCAATAAATAACAATTTAATTTGTGCTCATTATTTTTACTAACTTCAGTACAATGAATGCCTTTGAATCATTAGAAATGATAGTCCATGTGCAGAACTGGTTACTGGGATAGTTGATTGGGTAGTTGGAGCTCATGAATTTACCACTGACTTCAGTTAATTGTCTGTTACAATCTGTATTCAAAATAGTAGTGTTTAGTTTAAAGAATTGTTTATAATGGTTAGTGTAGGTATCTTACTAGCAATAATACTCATATAAGTCAAAAATACTGAGAAAGGTATATTATCCAGCTTCTGTTTGATTCTTTTGTTTCTGTAGAATTCTTCACAACAACAATTTGATAAACGGAACAGTAACTATTTAAAAATTTACACTCTATTTGACTTACCAGCACAAATACCATTGATTGGGTGTTGTCCATTTAGACAAAGACATTCATAACTGGTCTGTGTACTGACACACATCAGGTTAGCTGGGCAAGGCTTGGACAGACACTTGTCAACATTGACAGAACAGTCAGGTGTCTTGATGCCATCCTTACATACACACTGACTCACACCCTCATCACAGTACAAAGTGTTTTGTGTCACACATCTGTTGGAGCAGTTCTTGGCTGGGGATACATAGAACAGGTATAAACCCAACAGAACTTTCTTTATGTAATGCTTTAAATACAAAACAAAGACTTGAAATTTTAAAATTACTTTTGTCAATTACCTAAACATGACTTTGAATCAGTCCTGTTGAGAACAAAACCTTCTCTACAACTACATTCATAGCCACCATCTGTGTTGTTACAGTAGTGTTCACACCTGCCTGCGCTAGTGCATTCATCGACATCTGAAAAAAAGTGGGACTTTATTTCACAATTTTTCTAAAATGTATTTAACTGCCAAAATTAAAAGATTTAAATAATTTAAATTACGTGTACTAACAATCAAGATGAGATGTTCTTATATTTGAGACATTAACAACCATAACAACACTAACACTTAAGTAACATGTGTTGTTTTAGAAATATTTAAATTGTAATTTTCTTTAATTTTGTTTACCAATGCATCTGCCACTGTAGTTTGTGTACCCAGATGGACAAGGCCCACATACATATCCTATCTCTCTGTTTCCTTGTTGAGCTGCTGTCAAGTCAGTGCAAGTCTGGCCTTTGAAACATGGGTTGTCTTTACAGGCATCAAGTTCTGACTCACAATTTGCTCCTGTAAGAAAAAAAAACAGTTTTGAAAAATGTCAATTGACTGGTCAAACATTAAATGAGTTTTAATTTGCACTAAAAAATTTCATTCTATATTTCAACTATAGTTTTTCACTATTAGTTGCCATATATTAGTTTAAACATCCAAATTATATTTTTTTAAAGTAACATTTAAATAAACAGTCAGAACTATAATGACTACAACACTAGCAGTCTAAAATTAATCTTTAAACAAACCTAACAAATCCCTTTCAAATGTAAAAGTTGTGCTTAAACCTAATTGATATATCAAACTAAAATACAAAAACCCATACTAATTTATACATCTGAACTTAAATCTACCCAATACAATACTACAAATCACCTACAAAAACCTAAAGTGAATTTTGAAACAAACTGGTTCTTGAAGTAAAATATGATTTCTAAATTTTACACACTCCAAACAGATAAATGAAATGGCAGTTTGAAACAAAGTTTTACAGAATACATGAATCATTTGCGTTTAAAGAAGATACATTAATTCCATTGCTAATTTAAAAAAACAAAGCTAAATCAGAGTTTACCAATATCAGCATTTAAACACTTGTTTTCTTTACTACATTTCTTTTAACACATGAAGTGTTGTTTAAAATAGAGAGTATGAGCAAATTTTTAAAATTATGTTATCTCATAATTAAGAACAGATTTCAATTTAAGTTTTTCTACAAAAGTTATTGGAAAATTTCATTTTATTAAACAAGTCATACAACTCAGTGGAGAATAAGTGTCTGCTGTTTAAATTCTTACCAGTATATCCAGGCAAGCAGCTACATTTTAAAACTCTGACAAGGCCTCCAAAATACTCTGTCTCTCTTGTTATGTTCTTGTTACACTGACCATGTCCACTACATCTTGGACAAATTGTTATTGGAAGGTTCATAACCGGTGAAAAGCCATCTTTGGAGTCTTTCACTCGAAGACTGAAAACAAAACATATCAATCAATGAACAAAAGAGTGCTCAAAATATTTGTGTGTATTCAATAGTTGGGTTTCTTTATTATTATTTTTTCTTAGAGTTTTATTTTTAGTTGTGTAAAAACAAAGTAGTTACATTAAAAGCATGTGTTTTCATGACACAAATCAATCTTGAAATTAAATGTAACTTCTCAAACAAGGACCTCAGAAAAATACTTTTTATATTATTAGTAATTTTATAAATACTGGAATTGTTCTAAATAGAATATCACGCATCATACAAGGCAGAAAATTAATGTTTTCTTATTTTATATGATAATTAAAAAGTTATAATGCAAAGGTAGTGATGAAGCAGAAGCAAACAACAGTTATAGCACAAAGATTGTCCCTGATAACTAAAATCTTTTAGAAATGTACCAATTTGAGTTTTTTTTCTCATCCTACTTTAAGGCAAAAACATATAGGTAATTTTAATGGATAAGAACTAAGATTGTTAGTGATGAAAATGAAGCAAACAACTCACGCCACATTGACTGGTGTGTTCACTGTTGGTGTGTAGGTCAACAATCCATTCTGGGTGAGAGATACAGCTGAAGAGCCTTCTACCAAGATGTAAGTTAACACATCTGTGTCATTGTCAACAGCTTTAAAACTCAGTGTATTGGCAACACCTTCCTGAACTAACCAACGTCCATTCACATAATTTGGGTTGCTCACAACACTCAACACTGGGTAGGAATTAGCTGCAAAATAATGATTTAACTTTCAATTTGTTGTTCAAACATTCAATGTCTGACTACTGAATAAAATTTTAGTCTACTAGATCTTTGTTTAAAATTTAAACATAGTAAAACAAAATATTAAAATGCATGAATGGTGATTTAGGTGTAATATTATATTTTAACTTAAATAGAGTTTTGTTAAATTAAGTATATATTTTAAAAATTATTTAGTGGTCATCTAGGCCTACTAAAACTGTTTCATTAATTTATTGGACTAAAAAGGACACTATAGGAAAAGGTTTCTCAAGCATTCATTGTTTCTTCCGAACAAAATTGAATTTATATATAAAACATATACTTTTACCAGTGTCAGCCCCCACGGAAAACTTTGACCGCACCCCCCCCCCCCTGAAAATATCAAGTGCCCTCCCACCCCCCCCACCCCCAGAGAAAAAAGTCTGGAAGACACACTGGTTAATACTAAGTATAGTAAAGCACACTAAAGTATACTAGTAGCATTTAACAGTTATCTTTTGTCAGTTTATGTTATCCTATTTGTTTATTATCTCAATTAGGAACGCCAGAAATGGTGAATAACTGTTGATAAACTACTGTTATTCATAAAACATTTTCCTCCCCTATGTCTTATTTAATCCATTTTTTAGGGGCCTATAATAATCACTATAATGGGTTTAGATTTCTAGATCTAGATCTAGATAGTAGATCTAGATATATTTAAATTAAATTCTAGACCCTAGCACATCTGGTCTAGAATCTAGATGAGCCACAAATACTTTCGATACTATACTTACTTTCTACTCGCTAGATCTCTAGATTTAGATCGCTAGATCTAGATCTAGATCTCTAGATCTAGTTTGTAGAATGTAGACTGTGTAGACCTATGTCTAAATTCTAGAAGTAGTACTATCTAGTAGTAGTAGTAGTAGTAGTAGTAGTAGCCTATGTCATTCAAAACTCAAAAGGTAGGCCTATAAACTTTTAATTATTGAGTATGAAATAAAGTAGATCTAGATCTAGATTTCTATTACTGTTTAATTATTTTTTAATTTTTGCTGAACAATTTTACCTAGAGTATTCTTTACAGCCACAGACTGTGCAATTGTGTTGTTGGTATTGATCGCAAAGTTCACATCATTTGTTGCCAAAAAGTCAAAAACACAGGAATCTGACCCATTTTTACAAACTTCTCTTGCTTTTTGCAACTGGCTGGCAGTTGCCGAGTCATTGAAAAATGGCACAAAGTCAGGAAACTGGTAATCTATGGCAGTTTTCCCATCTCTGTAGGTGAACACTGAGTTAGCTTGAGTTACTTGATCTGATCAAATATTTGAAAGAAAAAAAATAACGCTAATACTAAATCTGGTAGTAGATCTAGTAGTATAGATAATGGTCATTAGAGTGAGCTAGATCTATAAAAAAATATATGATAGTATTTCTTTAACTTAAAAATGCCAAATAAATTTTTATATTTTAATTTTAAATATCTATAATGAATGAATAATTGATGACACAAAAAATCTTGAAAAACAAAATGTTAGCTAGTTAATTAAGTTTACATTTATTAGCAAAGTTGTAGAAAATCTCCCTTTCAGTGAGATTGGATCTTAAAACTGTTCCATTTGGTAAAGTGAATTCGTCTTTTGTGTTTCCATTGAAGTTGCCAAGTAAGCCTTTTGTTTTTCCCTGAAGTGTTTTTTGTACTTGCATTTCGAGCTCAAGACTTTTATACCCAATGCGGATTGCGAACGAAACTCCTTTAAAATTTGAAAAATAAAACATTTTCTGGTAAGTATCAAACAATATTTTGTGCAAATATATAATCTACTTTTATTTTAAGGTATATTTAGTAAAACCAAAGCAATTTTAAAATCTAAAATTGTAAAATTGTTACTATTAATTTTTAGAATTGTGTTTCTGAATTATTTAAATTCCTTGTACAGCAAAAACAATTAATAAGATTAGTTTACTAGATTTTATAATGAGTTGATTTATTTAAAAAGTATTACTACATAATACTCAACTCGTATTATTCAAAATGCATTAGGTAGCAACATACCACATGGAAATACAACGGTGACTTTAGTTTTATTTCCACTATCATCCCTGAAAACTTCAATAGTTTCTAGAGACTGCCTGTAGTCTACCGAAGAATAAAAGTTTTCTGTGATGTTCTTGCCACCAACGTACAGGAACATTGCTAGAAATAAAATAGTTTTAAAAACTTAATAATTTTTAAATTTTAATTATTCCTAAGTTACATTGAAGTAAAAGGTTTTTGCAAAATCCAAAAGAAATTTGTATAGGCGGGTAATATAAACAATTATTATAAACATTGATTTTGCTTAAAAGATTTTCCCATACTTTTTTTACTAGTTGCAAGTTCCACTTGGAAATGAGAAATTTCCTTTTCCTTAGCTGCAAATGCCGAGAAGACAGTCGCGTTTGTTAAAGTTCCGTTGCTAGTTTCTGCTCTATCTGTTCTAGCCTGAAATACGGTATTAATTTAAATGTTATTAGAGAGTAGAAGATTAATTACAAAAGAAAAAGTAAGAAATTGGATGGATCTTAAAATATTTGTTATTTTATATTGTCTATGGAAATTAACTTAAAGATTTGGAATAAGGTAACTTTATTTTCCAACTTTAATCTACTCAAAACATACATTTTTATTACAGAGACTAATCTACCTGTAGTTTAAAGTTCTCAGACTGTACATCCATCATAATATATTCACCTCTGCCATTAAACAAGTATGTTACATTGTCCAATGTTGCTATAGTTGGATCACCAAGCAGCCATGCTAATATACGAAAAGGCATTTTAAAATTATAACTGAGCCTATTCTTTACAAATGTGTAACTTATTTAGCGTAAATTGATTGAAATGAACAAATATAAAAACAAGGTAATATTAAACGTTTGATAACAAACTTGTATGTAATAATGCAATAAAAAGGAGAAAGCAAATTATTTTCATTTAATATATAATAATTAACTACTGTTTAAATAACTAAAATGAAAAGCGTAGAAATATATATTATGTATTGAATACTTTACAAGAATTTAAAAAGCTACCCACGTTTTTACTTTTAGTTATTTAAATAGTAGTTCATTATATATATATAAAGAAGATCATGTATTTTGAAATCGATCCGTTACAATTGGTACAAATCGGCTCGACAGTTTAAATCAATTACGAAGTAGCCTATGACAAACGACACAGCAAGCGAGCTAAATAAAAGCTCATAAAACAAATAAAAAAAGATAATTAGCTTTTTTAATAAAAAGCTTTGGTCGCTCATAAGATATTTTACATATTTAAGGGAAAAAAGCTTTTTATTAACGACAGCAAATTAGTTTTATTTTCTTATTGTTAAGTAAAGTTCCCTTTCAAACCAGACGGTTTATGGGGCAAGTGAAGTAGAGTTCACTTGTTTATGTGACCTCGGCATATAAAGGGATAGTGTGGTCAACACTATGCCCAGCCGCCTTTACTTACCCTAACGTGAGTTAGATACCCATTAGAGCTGGGTGGTCTACTGACTTGAACCCGGTTTCGAACTCGAGACTTACGGGTTAGCAGTCCAGCTCTCTTCCGCTAGGCCACTCCGTCCCATTTTCTTATTGTTAGTGCATTTAAAAGCTTTTGCTATAAAGTTGTTTTTTTTTTAATTTGCTTTAGTTTTTACGATTTAGTGATTCCTAGAAATCTATCGAGTGATTTAATTTTAATATACACCCTTAGTTTTGAAAGTGAAATAGAAACGAGTTATATGTTAAAATTATTTTTTGATGTTTTTTTATAGAAAAAAAAATTAAAATTGTACCCATCATTTGAGAATGTAAAACAAATGTTTAAAATGTACCTGGCACAAAGGTGACATCATAGGAGCATTCGTTGTCTGGGTACAAGAGATTATACCTGTCACACAGTTTACCCACGTTCCCATCCTTACAACAAGACCTCTGAGCCTCAAGACTTTCATTAGCAGCCAGTGACCACCAAGGATCACCTACAAGAACATGACCAGCATCAGGTGTGTTGTGAATGAATGAGGCCTGTTGTCTTGATTCAGCCCACTTCATCCAATCACTGGTTAGTGATGGTTGAGTCCATTTATAGCAGCAAAACTACAGATGTGTTAAAAAAAAATTATTCTAAGTAAATGTTTTCATTACCTATACATCTAATATTCAATTCAGCAGATAATGGTTTTCTATAGATAATACTTTTGTAAGATCGGATTATGTTTGCTTGGTAGGAAAATTAAGCGACCTTATTTCTCTACATCCAAGATGTTAAGTTCTTAATTATCGATTTCATTTGAGTGATAGTATTTTCTTATTATTATGTGACCAAAATTTAACAAACAGATTAATTTAACAATAATAGAATGCAGCTTAATTATTTATTTTGATAATATTTAAGCCTTAGTTAACCTTAATTTTTTTAATAGTGCTTGTTTTACCTTATTTCTTGGGTTATTCTGAAGTACCCTCCTTTTAGCCACTGGACTAATTACAAAGCAGAAAATATCTTTCAGGGCTCCACGTTTTTCATACAAGCTCCACTGTAACCCTAGTAAACCAAGAGTACAGGGACATGCATAGAGCTGACTGATCTGGTTTCTGTAGTCTGCGTTTGTAATAAGCTGTGAATTCTTACACACATGTTTTTCACATTTCTGTTCAGGTCCAGATATTTTCCCAATTTCGTAAGTGAGCACTTCGTTGTAGTCTTGAAAAAGTTGAAAAGAATTTCTTACAAAGTTTAAAAAAAAGGAAAATTGCATAAATATTTGTAACTAATTTGAAAATTATAATAATATGATAGTCTGTGTTACCATCAAGATACAAAGTATTTCTGTTTCAAGCACAAAAGCGGAAAGTTAATTCCGCGATGCACGGACTCTATAATTATTTAAATTAGCTAAATATAGTTATAAGTCTTTTACAATGCTGTTAAATAAATTATCCGTTTACTGTACTTTTTACCATAAGTAATTTTACAAATACAATTACGTTTTATCTAGTGTATCTTTCAGATATTTCTATCGGAGGTTTGGGTAAATATTTAATTGTGGAGGACTTAAAGTTCTTAGGGGAGGGGGTGGACGGACACTGGTTAAAGTATATAATTTGTATCTGAATTACATTTCGATCGGGGGGGGGGGGGGATTATTGGCTGATGTGTGACGGTGAGATACTACCAACTTAAATCAAGCAATAGGCTTTCGCTGTTTGTTTTTTTTTAAATTAAGAACGATTCCATATAAATTGGAGTTGTAAACCACACAGCCGAGAAGGTGATCCTTTCGGGAAAAGATATAGATAAATACCCAGACTGATATACAGATATATATATATATATATATATATATATATATATATATATATATATATATATATATATATATATATATATATATAGCAGTGTAGGTTTGAGCGTAAGCGTAGAACTACAACTAGATCTAGGAAAAGATAAATATAGACATACAAGAACAATGTTATCAACAATATTTTAAGAATAATTTAATACATATTTGTTAGAGCTTATGTCAGGGTGATAGCACATACTTTTGTTTTTTACCCAGTCAAATGTGGTCTGGTTGACTTGTATTTTATTAGCGTATGGACCAGCAGAGATACCAATAGTTGTGTCACTGTTTTTCAGGGCAATTATGTTCATTCCTCCTTTTGGGTATAAGAAATATACATAGGCTGTTTCTTCGTCTGAAAAAAATGTTAAATATTACTATTGTATGAAACCATTTCATAAAGACACACATACATACACACATCGATAAATAAATAAATAAATAAATAAATAAATAAATAAATAAATAAATAAATAAATAAATATATATATATATATATATATATATATATATATATATATATATATATATATATATATATATATATATATATATATATATATACTAGCCATCGGTACCCGTTACACGTGAATTGTAGCCCTATAAAATTTAATGTTATATTTGTTTGATAGAAAAATAATTTATAAAATAGTTATTGGTCAAAACGAATTGTAGTTTACTACACGTTGAACGATATTAGTGACAAAGCAAAGAAACTGTATAGCTAAAAATCAGACACATTTAATATAACAGGCTACCAATAGCCTACCTATTTAAAAAATAAAAATCAAATTATATTCGCACAGTAATTAAGAGACTTAAATGATTTCGTAAAAATCCGGCTGTTTAGTTGTATTGATGTGGGTTTTTTTTTATAAATTTGTATTAGTTTTGGTCGAGTCGGTAAAGCTCATGGTTGCTAAACCGAAAAGTTTCGAGTTCGAACCCTCGGGCAGATGAGGCTCGTTAGCTGGGGACAGCCACTCTTCTAGGTGAGACAACTCCAAAATCAAAACAGCTGCTGCCTTGTAGTTTGTTCTTGATTGGACAAAGGCTATGGAAGCAAATCCAAAAAGAAAAGCAGGCTGAAATCGGAGTCAATGGCCTCAATGGCGCATAACCAGTTGACACGTAATCCTCAATTGTGATGGAAGCATGGTCGAGTCGGCAAAGCTAATGGTTGATAAATTCGAAAAAAGTCTCGAGTTCAAACCCTCTGGCAGATAAGGCTCGATCCCTCCCAACACAAATAAATTAAGAACGAAGAAGAAGAAGAAGAAAGAAGTAAAACGTTCATAGCGTTTGTCTGGATAAGTAGATATAAACATCAAAATCAAAGTTAAATTCAATTAAATTGTTGATTTCTTTATATTCTAAACTCCGACATAATTATTTTTAGCGTTCTTATCAAAACAACAAACAATTTATCTGGTTGTAAAATTAAAATTTGTTTCTAAATTTGAATATGCCTTTATTTTTGTTTTTATTCTTTAAATAAAAATTTACTTTATGCATTTAATATATTGGACATATTATTTTCAACAAAGTTCTTATCATAAAGTTCTAAATATATCGTTGAAAATCCTGATTTCATAACCTCGGAAAATATTTTTCGAACAGAGAGAGAGAGAGAGAGAGAGAGAAGTGAGCACCTGGTCTTTTATATATTAGGATATATATATATATATATATATATATATATATATATATATATATATATATATATATATATATCGTTAAATTGATTAATACAACAAACAATTATTTATACAAGTCAGCTTTTTTCGCAGATTGTTAACTGTGTCGTCAGCTTTACCTTCCAAAAGAGCGATAAATGACCCCTTTAAATTGTAATATTTAGTTATGATGTTAATTTTCTCCATACACTTTAAACAGCTATGCCAGTATGTAAAGCAAATGTAACAGTGATGGATTAAATTGTATTGATCTAAAATTGTACCAATAAAATAATTTCAATTTGGGAAAACACATTGTCAACACAATCTCGACTTTTGGCATATTAGTTTCTTCGGTCGCGACCTATTAATTATACTATTTAAAACTATTTTTATGAAAGGATTTTATTCTAAAAATCAACCAGAAATGCCGGTGCCGCCAATAAAATCGAACTTGTTTTTATATTTGGCATTCAATTACCATCTTGTGTGTACGTGCGTGAGTGTGTGTATGTGTGTGTGTGTGTGTGTGTAAAAAGAAATATCACTTTTGATTCTCACCAGAGAAATCCTGATCACCAATAGATTCTTTACGGTATCCAGTGATGTATATTGCTTGAAAAGTGCCTGTTGGTGGGTTGGTCTGAAAAGAAAATTAATAGTAATTGTTGTTTTCAAAAGAAAAACTAGATATCCTATTTTTTTATTTTTTACACAATTAAAAATCAAACAACTTTCAAACGTTTATTTTCCCTCTTAAAACTACTACATTTAATAATTTATACCGAATCTGCTAATAGTTAGCCTTAGTGATTATAATAAAAGAATATTAGACTTTCACTACATCGCATTTAGTAACGTATATTTTACCTTAATAACACTTGATAATATTTGAACATTTTTCCAAGTGGCAACCAGCACAGTTTTAACTTTAAAGTCATAGAAGCGATTAGAGTTTCTGACATCTTGAGCTGCCCTTTCCATTACTTTAGCTTTGGCAGGGGATGATGTCACTGTGGCACTTTCAGAGAAAACTGTTGGTTCACAGCTCTCATACAGATGGTAGAAAACCTCTCCTTTTGTTGGGTCCAATGTTGCCCAGTATGGGGCTATTATTATAAAGCCATTTTTTACTGCTAGGTCGTAGCTACTACTAATTGTATTTCCTCCAAACCGAATGACTCCATCACTAAAGACCTGGAAGAAAGTTTCTTTCATTTTTACAACACTATCAAATGCAGTTTCTAACTAAACTATTTATGTAATATTAATTTTCGATTTAACATGCATATTAATTTCTAAACAATTAGCAAATATAATTGAAGTACTGAGGACTGGCTTACATATGCCTCAGTTTCAGTCCCAGCACCAACAGGCACTTTAGTAGCAAACACAATAGGTTTGCTGACATACTGGCTGTTCCCATTAGTTTTGATAAGTCCAGAGTCGCCTTTCTCAGCACCATACGGATACAGAGTCACTAAAAAAAGTGTTATGATTTTAACATTGATTCACATGAATAAGTTATCTATAACTGAATATAGCCCAAGCATCCAAACTGTATCATCTTATCCCAGTTCTGAGTTAAACTCATATTTTTGATTTAGTGAATTTAAGTTAAACATTCTAGTTCAATATATTTGAATATATCCAGATAAACTCGGACAAGTGACGCTATTATGGGGACAGCAACTCTTCTAGGAGAAAGCACTCCAAAATCAAATAACACTGCCTTGTAGTTTGTTCTTGGTGGACAAAGTCTATGGAAGCAAATACAAAAAGAAAAGCATGCTGAAATCGGAGTAGCCTAATGGCGCATAGCCAATTGAAACGTATAATTAATTGTGTTGGAGGAGAGATCCCTTCCAACACTAAAATTAAGAACGAAGAAGAAGAGGAAGAAGATCCAGATAAATACAAGTGTACCTCGAGTGTGTTTTTTACCTACTATCCATGAGTTAGAGAGTAAGCAGGAACATTTTGAATCAAAGAGTAGCATATTATTGTTATACGAAAATATTTGTAGTAATAAATAAGAAGATAAATCGCTTACTCTTACCCAGTAGGCCTACACATTTTTGTTACATAATAATCTTAATACAAAAGTCAAGTAATTTGTATAATTTTCGTAATGCAAAGATGGTGCATAACGTTTTAGAATATCTTGAAGTAGAACAATTAATGGAACTGCAAATGAAAACAAATATATTCCATTAAACCAAAACTTAAAAGCTTATTTATGTTTTTGAATTCGTTCGTGACCCTCATTTACAGATGTTACAGATCATGCACTTATTTTATTACACAGTATTAAAACATTTATTACCACCATCCTAACACATTTGATACTACATAACATTTTCTCAAGCCACCAACCCCAATATTGTATAAAATTCCCATGAATGTACGATTAAACAACAGAACTGTTATATAACAAAGTGTTACTGCTTCCAACATATAAAATGTGCATGATCGCTTAGGTGATTGCCTTCGATCTTCTTGCTTTCTTACGTATTCAATATTGCACTTTATTCATAGTCAAAAGTGCTGATTTGGTTTTGAAACTGTAAATCTAAGATAACTATTCTCTATTTTTTAATCATACTGAAACAAATTCACATTTAACAATCCCATTTATAAGAGACTCACACATTATTCAAAAACAATATTGCACTGTAATTATCAAAATGGCATGCAAGATGCACATTCTGGTCTAAGAAAAAAAAATCCACAAGCATGCTGCCATCTGCTTGAGATCCTCGCTAAATTGATATTTGGAGTGCATATCCTAATGGGAATGAAGGAGTCTATTCTTTGAATCTAATGCTGAAAAAATGGTCAATTATAGTTCATACAAAACATGTTTCAGCACCTCATTCAGATGACAATTTCTATGTCTAAAAAAATTAAAATACATATTTTGCAAAACGTGAATAATAATAATTACTAATATTATAAACTCTTAATAATATTAAGAAATCTACTGATGATTTTTAACAGCTTAACTTCAATGATAAACATTAAACATATTAGTTTCATTGATAATTATTCGCTTTTTTGGACTTTTGTGCAAATGTTTTTACTTGGCCATCTTCCTTTAATACATTTTTATTGGACAAGAACTAAATACTATCTTAGTGGCAACGTTACAAATCTCCACCAATAGCTAGACAATAAATATGTGGAATGCAATAACTATATAATAACTAAACAATTACCGACATTTCTCATTTTCTCCTTTTTACTATACTCCGATTAACTCTGACTCATATCTTTATTATTGTTACTCTCTAGCATAAAACTTCTAAATTATAATTGGTTCTTGCTTCATTAAACAAATATACATTTCGTTACTTATTTAAAAACAAACATTATATACCAGGGAACACTAATCTGACTCTAATCTTATCTTCAATAACCTTACTCATAATCAAACTATACATTTACCTCTTAACTTGTAGACACTTCAACAGCTTTAAAAATGGTGCACTCGAACTTATAAAATAAAATGTTAGTTTCGTACAAAATAATAGAAAAGGCTGCAATAAATAAAATGTGGTTGTTTCAACGGCGTTCACCATATTATATATATATTTTTTTTTATTTGGTAAGCAAAAAATAATTTCTACACAATCTAATATAATCTTCTAGAAATTCAATAGGTAATGAACAAATGGCCCACTCACCAGCACATTGGTTCTCTACTGCTCCTATTTCCATGTTTGCAGGGCAGGTACATATTAAAACTCCAGAAGTGTCTCGATAGCAGAAATGGGAGCATGTTTTATTTTTTGCTGTCACACAGTTCAAGCTGTTGCCTAATATATATATATATATATATATATATATATATATATATATATATATATATATATATATATATGCCGACAAGGTGTGATTTTTTGTTTCCGAAGTGAAGTAATTAAAATCATATTAAAATTTAATATCAAACTGTTATAAATGCATACAATACTTTTGAGATAAACTACCATATAACAAAGAATAGTCTTTGCTACACTTTAATTTATGCATTAATATTTAAAGTAATTTTGCAACTCTGAAATCAGATACATTAACCTGCAATTTTTTAATATAATGTAAAATAACATCAGTGAAACATTCACTTACCTTGACACTGTCCAGTTGCTGTCCTACTAAATCCAAGCTGACATTCACATGAATAATTCCCTGGTGTGTTCTTGCAAACTTCATTTGTTGGACAGGTGTTGTAGTTGCACTCATTAACATCTTCAGAGCAGGTGTCACCTGTCCAACCAGGCTTGCACACACAAACACCATTGGTGTTGTCGCAGAATCGTGTTTTAGATAGATCACATCCACAACTGAATTGACAGGTTGGTCCATAAGTGAACTCTTTGCATGCTAAAATTATAAAAACACTTCAACATCTATGAAACAAATTTTAAAAAGAAAATGTAAAAATTGTTACAGCAGTTGTATTAAATCTTTAAACAAGGGAAAAAGAAATAACATGATGTATAACAGAGTATTCTAGTTGTTTTTTTTTTTTTTTTAATCTAACATTTACTGTAATAAGAAAACATTAGTAATTCACTATAAGTATGGTTCTAATTTAAATTATAGCCAACATGGTTTTTTATAGCCTACATGGTTCAGAACAATATTATTAAGTAGCGAAAAAAAAAGTATTTTGTGTAATTTACAATAGTTAAATATCTGTATTTAAATTTCTAAGATTTTGACTCTAAACGTTTGTTTAAATTTATTGTATCCGGAGATAAAAAATGTTATCTTACTTTAGTTCAAATTATATAAAGCAATAATTTTAGCTATAAAATATTAAGAGCATGTACACACAGTGTGTACAAATATAATGGATACGTTTATTTTTCTACAAAACCTTGTATTAATATATTTTATCCTAAAAAAACATGTTACTTAATTCAAGCCACATTACAGAAAACAAAATAAAATGATGCAATTTAAGAGCAGATACATACTGTGTGTGTAGAAAACACCCGAAAATCCTACATTTGAGGTCCAGTACGGATTTGTTTTGAGCTGAATCTCCATTATGTTACCACTGGTCCTAATCAAAAGTGGTATTCTTCTTCCACAGTATTTGCCTATTTGTGTGCTTGTTGCATTAATAACGCTGTAGATGTTTAACGAATCATAGTAGCAAGTTCCGTCTTCATACAGCTGAAAATCTTGATTCTTGATACTATGAGATTAAAAAGAAATCCGACAATAAAGTGTGTATAGAAATTGCAATATTGAAATATGGAAATATATTTTAGGATTATATAATAGGTATGTTTCAACATTTATATATTATTTCTAAAATGTTCTCAATTTGAGATAATATTTGTTTTGTGTATGATGATATTTTATGTGAAACAAATAGGTTTGTGGTTACCTAAGTGTAACAACTTGACCTGGACTTCCTTGTATTCTCCATTTACATGAAGCATTCTTATATACATAATTTGGAAAGCCAATTGTAGAAATACTTCCAGACACAGCAGTGAAGTTACTGTCACAATCTGCATTAATAAGTAAATACATTACAAGCATGTGTTATTAAATTGTTTTGAGCAGGCTAATGATTCATTTGTGTACTTCATAGTTGTTCTGTTGTTTTCGATAATTTGTATGTAGAGAACCGCAGCGAATTTATTTTTGTTCGTAAGTAGAGTATGTAGGCCTACATCCTTCTAGTCAACAATTCCATTGACCGTCTAAAGTCGTTTTTCTTCTTTACTGGGAACAAAGAAAGACGTAGACTAGTAAGAATTTGCAATGCATTTTTGTCTAATGATTTTGTTCTAAATGCTAGTTAATATGAAATAAAGCTAATTTAGTCTTCTGATGGTTTGTTGATTAAGTATAAGTCACTTGTGTGGTAGGCATATATCTCACAATAATTATGTGTAAATAAAGTACATAAAATCCATATGACATTTTTTATTATCCAACAATTCCACGCGCGCGTTATCATGTTTATTTGGTGCACAATGATTTTTAGTCATGCAACTCTATTGAAAAAAAAATTAAATTGGCCTACTGGGGGTTTTTTTTGTAAAAAATAAATAAATTTTTTAATACCAAGCTTTTATGTAATAATTCACTAGAAAGTAGAAAATAAATGATTTTTCTTAAACATATAATAATTCGCTGATCTTTAAAAAAAATAATAATAAAAAGACACATGCTTTTGTTTATAGCTACTTATTAGTAGTATGTTAAATGTTTAACGAAAATCATTTACTTTCTACTTTTTAGTGCATTATTACATAGAAGCTTGTTATTAAAACGGTTTTTATTTTTTTTTATTTTAAAGTTGAACAAAGCTGCGTTGTTTATTAATTATTATTTATTTCATCCTTATTTTGGGTAATCATGAAACGATTTTTTTTTTTAAAAGGCATAAGATAAGATAATTGGCTTAGTGTAACGATACGTTACATGTGTAGGCTTAACATATAGATAAGGATGATTATGTATTGATACAATAATAAGTAAGTGATAGGGATAGAGATATGAAAAATTAAAAAGAAAAAGGATAATAGATAGGAAATGTATAGTTATAGCGATAGGGAAATTGAAATAGGATAAGAAAAGGGACTGGGAAATTTAAAGGCTTAAGATAAGGATATGTATTGCTACATTGAAAGAAAAATATAGCGATAGCGGAAATTGATACGAATAGGAAAATAGATCGGAAATGAATCTATATAGCGATTTGGAAACGGATAGGTTTAAGATAGGGATAGAAATTTAATCGTTACAGGTAGGTAATAATAAGGATAAGTATAAGAATAAATATAGGAATGAATAGAGATAGAGATAGGGATAAAGACTAGGAAAACGAAATGGAAATGAATAGTGACAGGGATGGTTAAGAATATGTTTATATGTATGGGGTTGGTATAGGTTGTATCTATGTTTGTAGTTGTGGTTTTGGTTAAAGTTATATTTATTTTCTCAAACGTCTATATTTTCATGCAAATGAACAATTTATATTTTTTCAATGCCCGGGCAGCGCCGGTTATATGCTGCTCATATGTAAAATATTCGCTGTTTAAAAAAAACCTACCAGGAATGCATCTATAACTTCCCATAGTGTTCACACATTTTTCAGTGAGATAGCAAGGATTACTCAGACATTCATTGACATCAACAGCACATGTAGCTGACTGCCACCCGGGGTAGCAGGTACACGCCCCGTTAAAACTGTCACAATATTGTGTGTTGTTCTTGACACAGTTGCATGGTGTGGTACATCTTTCTTCACCATAGTAAAATGGGAGGCATCCTGTAAGTATACAGAGAAGTATTTTAAGTTAAACATTAACAAGCTTAAGAAGTTAAATTTACAAAACACATGCAGGTAATTAAAATATGTGGTTAAAAATGAATAATAAAATTAACATTTCTATACAACCTACATTTTTATGATCACCTATGAAGAAGGAAAACTAATAAATCTTTGTTTTAATCAAATAAAATTCTGTTTACAATAAAACATGGAAATGATTAAATGAAACAAAAAATGTACATCATATTTTTTTACTTCCATCAATTCTAATACAATAGTAAGTTAAGTAATATTTGTATTTCTTAAGCATTAAAAGATGATTAAATTAACGCAATTGGTCAATAAATTCACATAAAAATTATATATAAATCAATTTTCTATTTACTGAAAATAGAAAATGTAACATTTTGAAATGTATTAGAATAGATGATGAAAAAACAACGCAAAAACTAAAACTATTACAATTACATGACTCATATATATATATATATATATATATATATATATATATATATATATATATATATATATATATGTTGATTTAGCTGTACTAAATAGATAGTTAAATCGACAAAAGTGTAGTCGAGAGCTTAAAAAACTACTGTCTGTAGTGTGGTAACTCCACACAAAGCTCCGGCGAATTATTTCAAAACTCAAAATAAAATTTTAAAAATTTAATAAAGTTAAAGACTCAAAAGGTCGTCGGAAGGGGGGGGTTGTCGTCGGGATGGCACCAAAGAAATACAGAAAAGGCCAAGATGAACTGCAGGGGATTGGTAAAAAATAATACCATTAATTTTCAGATTTAAAACACAATTGTGTACTTTGTTTTAACTTTTTTACTTTCTCGTGTAGTCTTGTAATCGCGCAAAAAAAAAAATCGAGATTTTTACAAATCTCGACGTTTTACAACTCACTGATACGGAAAAACATATGTGTATATATATATATATATATATATATATATATATATATATATATATATATATATATATATATATATATATATATACAAAAAGAGAGAGAAACTATAATTATTCCATTTTTTATATTATGTACATACTCAGGAATGTGGCATTGAAACCTTTTCCTGCTACAGATCCATCTGACTGGAACAAAACGTATAAATTGTTGTCTGTGGATGTGATTGGATTTGGATTTGTTGTTCCATAAAATTGTCCTTTGACATCTAAAATAGCACTTTTGGGGTTGTAAACTTTAATAAATGATTTGCCTTGGGTATCCAGTGAGACTTCTGTAAACCTAAAACAAGAGGAATTTGAAAAATATGCAAAATAACACCCGTTACTGAATGTAATTAAATCAGTGCTAGATTTAAAAGAAACATGTATTTAAATATGAGATTTCAAATTTTTATTGTTCAGAGTACAAAGCCTGATAGCGTGTGCTTATTTAATGAGTCTGCAAAAAAAAAAAAACTTGCAACATAATTATTATATGTAATATTACCAAATACAAAATGTAATTTACGTTTAAAGAATTCATGTATGATTGAACTTGTTTTAAATACGTGGTCTAATAGATATTTCAGTATGATAACTACACATTTGATTAAAATATTACTAAACAAATTTACAGCAGTTTGATGTGTAAATTAATAAATTGTCATTTATACTACAAATTATAAAATGTAGTTTGTTAACTAGCTACAACTAAAATACAAACTATTTTTAAAAATTAAATTATATTTTTCTTTAAATTATGAAATTGAGATGGAATAATAGAACAATTAATTATTCTAATTTTATACCTCAAAGAAACGTTGTATCCAATAGGCGCGTTTATTGCCCAATAGCAGACAGTGTTGTTGACATATGTTGGGTAGCCAGGATTTTTCAGTATCTGTTTTTCATCAGTTGCATTAATAAGTTGTTTGCAACCACTGGCATAATCTAAAAATACATTATTGAAACACTTAGTTTTAGGGTTATATTTAGAAAAAGGGATAGGAATAGGGAACTAATAGTGATAGAAAAGGTATATTTAGAGAGAAATAGAGATAGGGATAGGATTATAGTTAGGATTTTAGTTAAGGAAAATGCCGGGTTTACCTAGTTTAGTAGATATTTTCAAGAGGGGATTAGGGTAAATTAGGTTGGATAATTGAGAAGAGAAATGGCAGAGAGGACATAAAAGGAGGAAATTAAATTTGTGGTAAGGTCCTAGATCTTCATAGAATATCACAAATCCTCTTCTCTATGTTAATGTTGCGTGTTTATAATACCAGACAATTATTTCATTAAGAATGCATATGACAAAAGTACATATTAGATCTATATAAAACGGGCGCCGGACAATTCACCCCCACCCGTCAATTATCCTCTTCCCCTGTCAATTACCCCCCCCCCCCGCCCAGCTAGGGATAAGTTAGGGTTGCGGTTAGGGATAGTGTTAGGGTCACGGTTTGTGTTAGTTTTAGATCTATATTTAGAGTTGGGGTTAGAATTGGTGTTGGGGTTCGGGGTTAGCTATAGTTTTAAGTGTTTGTGTGTTTAGGGTAAGTGTCAAGGTTCTTCAACTCGGGAGGGGGTAAATAACCAAGGGTGTGTGATAACTTACATGGTGATAATGGGCAGTGTTAATGACTCCGGGTGGTTAATGACGTGGATGGGGTATTTCCAGGAGAAGGTAATTGATGGAGTGGGTAGAGTAGTTTCCTAGACCCACATACAACCTATTATGTTATTTTTAAATGATAGATAATACTAAGCCTTTATACATATTACCGTTTGTTGTGTATAATCCATAAAATCGTCCATATACGCTGTAACTGGAGTTAAATTTCAAATGCATTGCATTTCCAGTCGATTTTATTGTGAGTGTATCGTAATTATTACTGAGATATCGACCAATTAAAAAAGCATCAGCATTTGGCCCATCAAAAATATGTAGGAAGCTGTCATAGTACGTGTAAGCATACAAGCTTGTAAATCTGTGAATCAACCAAAATGTTATTATGTTAACGTTGTAACGAAAAGGTTAATTACCCTTCCAGACCCATTTGTCGATACTAATTATGAGTAGTGTGTTAGCTCGCTCGTTCTTTCGTTCACTCGTTTGTTTGTTTGTTCAATCGATCGCTATATCACTCACTCAACCACTCACTTATTAATTTATTCAATCCGGGTTTTATTTCTCTATGAAATATTGACTTGGAATTGCGATAGTTCCAGTTTTTAATCAAATAAGAATACCTTAAGGTAATTGATTTCCCTTGGGCTACTGTAATGGTCCATGAACATGGTGTTGTAGATGAATAATAATTTGGGTAATTTGGTGACGTGATGTTTCCTTCACTTGCGTTCAAGATAAAGCTGCAAGCTGTTATTATGATATAGCTTAAACATATTGAGGATCCCAAATAATAATTTAAGATTTTTTTAATATGTGTCATTTTATATATATATATATGTCATGAGTGCATTAGAATTTTAATAAACTTTTTGTTTAGGGTTTTTTTAAGACAATAAAACCAAGTTTTTAACTGTTAAACATTTAAACTAAATGAAAAAGTAGAAGAGCTTAATTATACTGAATAGAATATTCAAATGTTTTCACAAGGTGTCATTAAAAACAATATAATAGCCCTTGTGAATGAGAGGCGTAATTATGTGACGGGAGAGGGGGAGGTTACACATTTGAGTTTTTGTTTATGAAAAAAATGTATTGACAATTCATTTGGTAAATTATTATGAAAAACAATCAATAAAAGGGTTTTATTTTATAGATATACGTTTAAACAATTTTATCAACCCACATTTTTACGAAAAATTCCATTTTGTTTTGGAATTGGGGAATGGCAATAGAGAGCTGAACACCCAGTCTCTCCAAATCAGTTTCAAAATCCATCTATAACCTACTTATGTGTTTGTTTATATTCAATTTATACCTCAAAGAAACATTGTACCCAATTGTACTTTACATTATTTCCGATTTCTCAAAAAGCCCTTACGAATTTATAAAGTACTAATATTCCGCACTGTTATACATATTATATTGTTTGCCGTTCGCAAGCTCGCTATTCTTTTTTTCTACAAGATTCTATTCTATGTTTTAAGTGTAAGTAATTAAACATTGATTAAAATCATGTCTATATCCCGAGTAGCCATAATCCGTAGTGTTATATAAAATATTCGAGAAAATTTAGGATGAGATCAATCCTGCTTTGGTTATGATTGAAATATTTATTAATTTTACGTTTAAAATGTTGGTGTTAAATAAGAATATTAATTTAAATTATTATTGGGAAATCTAAAGAATACGATTTTTTAAATACATTGTTCAAAAACCTAAGCGTAGCTAGTAATAATATATTAAAAGAAAAATGTTATTTTCTTCTTGTTTAGTGAATGCATAAAAGCATGCCTGTGTGTGTGTGTGCCTGTGTTTTTTCTGTGTGTGTATTTTTGTGTGTATGTGTGTGCACGTGTGTCTGTCTATGTTTGTTTTTGTGTGTCTTTGTGTATCTTTCTGTGTATGTGTGTGTGTGTCTGTCGGTATGGGTGTCGGTGTGTATGTGTGCTTTTCAGTGTGTGTGTCTGTGTGGGAATAGGATACCAGGAGTACTTTTTTAGTTAGGCGAAGGAAATTGTATATATAAGTATTTTATCGAATTCGTACTTTTCGTTCTACTTCATGGCGATTTCCGTAAAGTACAGTAACCCTTCAAACTTGAAGGTCCATGGTACAAATGAGACAGAGCTAACCTGTTTCAAACCTCAGCATATGACGGGATAGTGTGGTCAGCGCTTTGCCCAGGCGCCTTTACTTTCCTTAACGTGAGTAAGATACCCAAGTAAAATATATACACTGGTCTCTATCAAATTTTATGTGATTGCCGGTAAACGGAAGTGATATTTTATTCTACTTCTTTATGAAATTAAAATAAGTTACGTTGCAGTACGATCACGAGATTTCATATATAAGTATTGGCTGCTGTTGGTAGACTTTTGGCATCGTTATAATTATTTCAGGGA